CATCTCGGAGAGGCACGTCCCGGCCTGCGCGGGGGTCCTCGGGGGAGCTGGACGCTCGGCAGCAGGACTGCAGCTTCATCTGCTCCTGATTAATATCTTGTTTGGTGCCCGTGCGCAACTGTTGTATGTGATTAGAGCTCCAGCGGAATCTGTTTCTTCGCAGTCCCCCAGGACCGTGGGTGCACCCCGTGATTTAGCAGCTGTCTCTAGTTTTCGCCCAAAGATCAAAGAAGTTTGATCTTTGAACCCCAACCCTATTCACCCACCGCTGTTCAATGCGCGGGAAGCGTGGTGTGTGTGTGTGTGTGTGTGTGTGTGTGTGTGTGTGTGTGTGTGTGTAGGGGGGAGTTGCAAACCTTTCCATTCTCGCAGCCCAGTGAGGAGATGGGCTCGGAATGGAGGGATCTGTGTATCCTGGCCTTGCAGGCTTCTTTCTTTATCTTTGGAGAGCTCGTGTGGAAAGCGTCAGTGCACATTTCAGAACTTGCCTGGCAGGGCGTGGAGATACCTGGGCACTTGTTTTAAAGATTGGTTTGCCTCCCAGTGCAAAACAGAGTTCTCATGGCTGTCCTTTAAACTACCCAGCGTCTTAAATGACTTTTTCCAAGCCCTCTCCAGCACCGATCGCGCGCGTATTCGCCTTCCTCCACGCTTCTGCCAGCAGGAGCCTGGCCGACCCGCTCTCCTCGGCTCCCCTGCGCGGTGTGCTCTCCCCCGCCCGGCGCTCCAAGGAGGTTATTTGTAGCCTCTTTGGCGTGTCGGGACAGCGGCCCTACCGGGGTAGGAATGTGCGTGCCCTTCCCACCACATGGGCCCCTTAAAGGGACAGCTATGCTTTTTGGGGGGTTTCCCCCTTCCGGCTGTGAGAGAAGAGGATGGAACTTTCCTCTCGGCCCCCTGGAGGAAGTTTTGAAAAAGATCAAGGGAAATGGCACGACACTGAAAAATAAAAAGGGCTAAAACGGATACCAACAAAGCCAGAGAGGAGATTGTCGCCTTCTGCCCTAGGGAAAGGGGCGGTTGAAGGTTGGGGCAGAGAGTGGCCCTGAGGATTTTACTGCTTCAGAGCTGTCAAAGCTGCGTCCACCACATCTGCAATGAGAATGGAGGAGGAAATTGTGTATATTTAATGCCTCAGAAAAGGCTGGGAGGGTTCTTGGTAACTCTTCTGGGGTTGGTTGGTTGGTTGATTGGTTTGTTTAAGAACAAAAGTTCAATAGAAACGTGTGAGCAGGTATTGAGGCTGCGTGCACAGAGTAAGGACAGTCTTTATAGCACGAAGATCTAAATTTCACCTTGCCTGATACTGATCCCTCCTTGGAGGGCTGGAAGGGATAGATTCATGGCTCACCAGTGAGACCGAGCAGTTGCTCATCCCAGACTCCACCAGGAGGATCCCAACTGTGTGATCCAGGGGCTCTGGAAGAAACAGTGTATCATAGCAGATCACAGCTAGAAGTGATCTGACCTCACTAGAAGTGAATTCACGACACTAAAGTGTAAGGTGCTTATTTGGATGCTGCTAGTCCTTAGGGCTTCCCCTGGAGCCTCTGGGTTTGGCCTGAGCTACACAGAACATCATCCAACCTTAAAGATTTTGCAAGGAAGCTTGATTGCTGGCCCTAGCCTTGGCTAGCTTCCTCTTGAGGGTTGAGGTGAGGCCTCTGATAATCACCCGCTAAAAAATGGAAACCATACTGGTCTTGGAGTGTCTCCTGGTAAGTGAAAAGTTATTTCTGAGAATGAGTGCAAAAGAGTGGCTCTGAGAAGGGTCTCCTTCCTATCTGGCTGTTGTCATAGTGCTTGGTTGACCTTGTCCCTGAATTTATTGGACGTGTGAAAGATGCTTGGCTTGACACTGATTTTGGACTTCCTCTTCTGTCCCCTGATGAGTATCAGATAGCACCTCTGCGACTGGCACGTGGTATTAAGAATGACAGGTGCAAGGCAACCAAGTCTGACCATGTCTGATAGAGTCGGTGGGGCATGTCCATTGCTGAACCAGCAGAGAACACAGGAGGTCACAGAGGACAGGGTGTCTTATAGGCCTTCGCTTACTCTTTCTACTGATTGTGTATCTTGATCCCCAGGAAGAATAATGGGAAGGACGGCTTTGTTGCACCTCCTTTGAAGAGAAGATCCGTGCTAGAAGATTCCTGAATAGAAACAGAATTTCAGTTTTGAGAAGTAGTCTTGACTTCTTCTTTTTTTTTTTTTTATTACTGGGCACATCTCATTACATGGGCACATCTCATTACATGGGCACATCTCATAATCATGAGGCCCCTGGTGCACTGGGTCTGTTAGCCAGTTCCAGGCACAGTTTCTCTACATTCCTTGACGCAGCTTAGCCAAGAGTTTTGTCACAGTTGCCTGGCATGGGGCATCTGGGCCCCAGACTGTGTCTCATTGCCATCTCATCTCCAGCATCAGCAGCCCTTCTTAGCTTGTCAGCCTGGTGGGATTCAGTGTCCCAGGGAAGGCTCCGTGCTGACTAGTTGGTTGGCAAAGCCCAAGTTTGGTCCTATAAATAGCTCAGATGAATGCCTGTGCTTGCTGCTCTCCCAGTTTAGAGCTGGCAGGGTCAGGTTCTTTCTCCCCAGTACACTCAAGTCATACCCTAAACTGAGCTCTGCACCCATTCATTTATTCATTCATTCAGCGAGCAACACATTTGTCTAGCAGTAATCTAATCACTGCAGGCAGAGCTCAGTGACTCAGGAGCACAGGCAGACCTGAGTTTGAACTTGGCTTCCATACTTTCTGACTGTGCAAAACACTTAATCTTTCTTAACTTCAGAGTGCTTCTCTGTAAATGGAGGGAGGAGAGGGGGAGTAGTAATAAATGATCACTTGAGACTATTGTAAAGATTAGATGATAGTATGTGCAAACCATCAGAACAGAAAGTAGCAACGGCTGAGCTCCTCTAGGCCTGGATATATGTCAGGCAACTTGCATAGTGGATTAGAAATGGTTCTTGCCTTGGGACTATGGGAGCCAGGTAAACAATAAATTACATTATAGTGCTGTATGCCAAAATGTAGGCTCAGCCCTTCATTTATTTCAGCTGTTTTTTGCTTTTATCTTTTGAGGATCTTGCCCCTTCTCTTCACCATTGAAAGCCTAATGAAAGCCTAAGCACATCCATACTTCCAGAAAAGAGGTCCGTTAAGCCATTATGTGAATCTTGGGAGCCCCCTTGGCTTCAGCTCTCCTTGGATTGGTCCTGGAGGTGGGACTTTCCTCTGAGAGCTCCCCTGCTAAAAGCCCTGTGGTCAGGCACCTCATGCTAAGGGTACTGTGACCCCTGGTGAGAAGTGCCCACTGAGGTCTCTTGTAGCTGGAACAGTTTAGAATTCCAAGCTGTCCTTCCCACTGGCCTGAAAAGGGAGTCAGGCCCCAGAGCTCATAAGGTAGTAATTGTCCCAATTGGGGGGCTGGGCTATGGCCATACTGCCTGCCTTCATGATTACCATCTTCTATCAGGAATCCTGTCAGTGTGCAGGGATAATTGATGCAGGTCTCAAGCCCCACATCGCCTCTCAGGCCCCAGCTCCTCCACCCCAAAGTTTGACCAGTGTTGTCTTTTTGTTTCTTCATTTTAATCTGGTGCCAGTGATGGGATATTTTGGGGGCACTGCAGAGAGTTGACCTTAACCAAGAGCAGCCATTAAAAAGAGCTGATTCTCTAGCTTTCCTTGTGGCCGATTGACTCCATTTTCTCTTCTACACTTTTGATTTAGCAAGAAGTAAGCATCTTCGGTGCCCTTGGCACCTCTTATGCCCTTCCCAGCAAACTTCATTCTTTCCCTGCACTTAGCCATTATCATTGGTCTCCCAGCTGAGCAAATTGGCTGTGAGCTCTCCCTCTGCCCTACTCCCCTGCTCATTCAGGTTTGAGTGGGAAGAAGGGCTGCCTGAGTCCCAGCTGGGGAAAGCCTTTCTGGGACTTGCTGCAAGCCCCGACTTGGCTCCAGGAGCTCCCCCCTCACCTCTGTACATTGCTGAGGATCTGAACTGCAGCAAAGCCGGAAACAAAAGACTGGGAGCAAACCTCCCATCTGGCTGCGAGGCAGCGACACAAAGGTGCTGCTGCATAATTTATCACCGGAGGTTTTCAGGGGCCTGGAAGCTCCTGACACCAGCCAGTGCTTTTTGGGGAAGAGAGACCCTCCCCCTCTCTGGGTGTAGGGCCAGCCAGGTACAGCAGAGGATGTTGGGAGAGACACCTGATTAGGACGTTGAAATAAAGACGCTTTGAGGTTGTAAGTGCCTGCAGTGAACTCTCCAAGCTCTGCTGCTTCACTTCCTGCCAGGCCTGAGGGTTCGGGGAGTGTGTGTGTGTGTGTGTGTGTGTGTGTGTGTGTGTGTTCCTTTCCGATGGCCCCAGCCTTGGGAGCTCTACTGTCACCAACTTTTCGGCATGGACAAGGAAAAGAGACAGTTTCTCTGCAAGGTTGATTACAGCCTCTGAAAACCAGATGAAAATGGCAGATTATAATATCCCTACATCTGGCACATAAGAAAGGGGAGCACCCTTCTCTTCCCACCCCCCAGCTCCCTGTTTAAAACAAGATTCAACTATAGATTCAGAGGTAGTAGAACTCTAAAATGCTTTTCCTCAAATAAGAACCTGTACTTTAGGGGCCTCCCCGGTGGCGCAGTGGTTGAGCGCTGGGTTCCGAAGCTGCCCGCAGCCTCTGCAGCGCCGGTTCGATCCCCGGCTGCAGCCTCTGCAGCGCCGGTTCGATCCCCGGCTGCAGCCTCTGCAGCGCCGGTTCGATCCCCGGCTGCTCCCCGGCCACCAGAGGAGGGTCCCACATGGCGCGCAGACCCCTCCTGCCGCCCGCTGCTCCCCTCAGCAGTGTACTTCGGTCCTTCTGCCTGCTCTGCTCCCTGCTCTGGCTCTGGTTAGTCCTTTCACCCTCCCTGCACCTCTGGCCTGTACCCCAGCTTGCATACATAAATAAATCTTAAAAAAAAAAAAAAAAGAACCTGTACTTTAGGGAATAATCTCCTCTGGTGATCACATTTTGCAAACGGGGACATGTGATCTAAAAAAATATGAATGCACTTCTGAAGCAGTTGACATTTTTGAATCTTTTGCTGTGTCCCTGGCTCTGATAAGTGTTTTGTGTGTGCTATCACATTTGTTCCACTCAGTGTCCCTACCAAGTAAGTACTGTTAGGCATCTGTCTTACAGCTGAGAAACTAAGGCTCAGAGCAGTCTGTTGTTACATGGCTCGTGAGTAGCTGAAGCAGGATTTGAACTCAGAGTCTAAAGTGTTAACACTCTAACCCACGCCCCTCTTAGAGCAGAATATTTTATATCCAAGCTATCCCCAGAGATCTAGGTTGGAAAGAGTTCTATTTTATCTTAAGTGACTTCTTTTCTTTGTGTTCAGTTATCAACTTCTCAGGGAATCCTATAAGGCATAAAGAATTACTTCTGGGGCCTCACTGGTTGTGCAAGGGGTTGAGCACAGCACTATGAGGCTATCCATGGGTTAGATCCCAGGTGGGCCATGGAGCTGACCCACATGGCACAGCAGACCTCTCCTGTCTCACTTCCTGCTCCCCTCAGCAGTGTGTTTCGGTCAGTCTGCCTTTTCTGTTCCTCGCTATGTCTCTGGTGGGTCCTCTCGCCCCCTCCCCCGCACCTCTGGCCTATACCCCAGTTCTTGTATCCATAAATAAATAAAGCTTGGGGGGAAAAAAAAAAGAGTTACTTCTGATGGAGGGAGACTTAGAAAAGCTCCCAGTGGAGGAGAAGCCTCACTAACTTAGTCCTATATTTTGAGATGAAGGGAGAGACGGAAAAGGTATTTTGAGCAACTTCTCATAGAACACAGCTACCACATTCAATCCACATTCTGGTGGGTTTGTGAAATCTATTGACTGGGCAGGGGAAGTGGACTTTTGAGGACCTAGGAAGAGAGAGCAAGCCTAGGCTTGGCTAGCATGGCTCCATGACCTGGTGGAGAGAGAGGTCATTCATGTCACCAACTTAATCCACTTGGTGCAACCTGGCCCACAGTAGGGCTTCTAGAATCTCAAGCTCTAACATAGTAGGTCTTAGTCCTAAGCAGGCTGGATAAGACAGTTCTGTGTGAGTCAAATTCTGTAATAGTAGTAGAGCTATCACTTACTGATGGCCTACTTATTATGCTAAGTGCTTCTTTACGAATTAACTAATTTCTCATAATATCACTAAGAGGTGAGGGATTCTGATCCCAATTTTCCTGATGAGAAACTAAGGTATGAAGAGATTAAATCACATTCCCAGGGTCAGCCAGCCAGCAATTAACTTAGTTTTGTTCCTTTGTTCTTAAAGTTTCTCTTCTTTCTGCCTCATCATTTGGGAGGACAACTGGTAGGAATTTCTTTTCTGTGTGTAAAAATAGCAAGAGAGGGCTGAACTTCCTGTGGCCAGTATCATTGTCCCCTTTGAGGGTGTCCCCTTTGAAAGGGCCTTCTAGAAGAAGACCAGGTAGATCTTCAATCAGGTAAGGCTGGCCTCTAGGGTTAGGGACAGACATGAGTAGTCTTGGCAGGTCAGTATCATGGTGAGTGAAAGAACTCCCATAGAAGCAGGGAAAGACCTTAACCTGGATAGAACTAAGAAGCTGCCTTAAAAATGAAGATTCCTCTTTTCTTGACTACAGGTCAGGTAGGAAGTTACTGCTTTTCCTTTCTGATATTTTGAGCCTTTTTTTTTGTTTTGTTTTGTTTTGTTTTGTTGTTGTTGTTTTGACCTAAATTCTTTCAAGACTCTGGAGGGAAGCATCAGTCACTCATTGATTAATTTTATAAACTTATATTGATCCTCGGCTACCTACCAAGCATTGAACTGCAGACTATGAATACAAAGCTTTCTACCACACAATTCCAACTGCCAAGAAGATCATGGTCTTGTAAATAAACAGCAATCCCACCGTTGGTTCAATGCTACCCTACAAAGGGGCACTAAGGGCCTCTGGGGCACCAAGCAGAGGCTTTTGATTCAGCAGGGCTGCCTGGAGCCAGGTGGGCAGCATCAGGAAGGAGTTCACTTCCTGGCCTCCTTCTCCTCCAGCCATTCACCCTTTTGGGTATTGGTTCTGAGGTTTCCTCTGCAAGTTCTGTCCTCTCAAACAGTGGCCGTCTCTAGACACCCAGTTCTCTCCAGTTTCCATGCATTTGCTTGGATGAGCTTGGATCCATTCACACATGGCTCCTTGCTGCCCCCTCCTCAGTGATGTCCATTTTGCTTGCTACACGGGCACCTCTTTCAGTGAGAGGCCCCTACCTAGTAGGCCTCCCGAGGAGCTCAAGTCAGTGGATCAGTCCCCTGATTGTCTTGGATGTAGTTTAAGGCTGTTTCCTCTAGCTTTTCCTCATTCAATAGGGCCTATAGCCTCGCCATAGGCCTACTTGCCACCAGTAGGCAGGAGGAAAGAGTTACATGTTCAACGAAAAATATCCTTCAGTTATAGGAGTGAGGCTCCTCCCTCTCCTGTTACAATCTCCTCCACCCTGGGCTAGCCATCCTAGCCCAGCACTCAAGGGGGACTGCTTGTTTATCTTTGGTTCTACTTGAAAAAATTGTGTGTGGCCATGTGTAGTCACTGTTCACTTTGACGTCCAGGTGACAGGTGTGGCTTCCCTCCAGCTGCGCATTTTATGGGTTGCTGGAGAGCTGGAACCTGGGCATGCTTCATTGTCACCTGGGAAACTTACTGCAAGTCCTGGGTTCTAAGATGACATTGAGGGAGGAATGCTGATCTGAAGGCCAGAATGGGGCTGCCATCTTGATTCTCCCACTTACCCTATGACCTTGGTGACCTTACCTGTTCAAGGGACACTCCCATGACTAGTCAGAGTTATTGTGATAATTAAGTAAGAACGTATGCAAAGGTAGTTTGTCAGGTGTAAAGAGAAGCTGAAACATGGAATGATTTATTATTAGAAGCCCTATTCTTTTGGGGGCAACACAACACGGAGGCACTGGTTAAAGGGCTGGGACTCCAGTCTGTCCCTACTTCCCACCTGACCTGAATGCAAGGTAATAGGTCATTAGCCTTAGTAGTAACCAGGGAGGTCCATAAACTCACTGTGTATTGCTAACTGAGAAGACATAGAGGAGAGGAACCAGTTTTGTAAATTCCCTTTTTTTGACCTCAGGGTTTTGGAATTTTTTATAATAGCTATATCATGTATGGGAGGCGGTATAATGGAGTAATTAAGAGCAGAGACACAGGGCTGGGCGTGAAGGCTGGCCTCACCCCTTAGTACCAGTGTAACCTACTGACAGACTACACCTCTCTATGTGTAGGTGATAATAACAGTGCCGCCTCCCAGAGTTGTGGGGAGCATTCAGTGACTCTGAAAAGGGATTAGAACGATGCTTGGTGATCACTGCAAAGTACTCACAAAAGGTTGGTTGTATTAATATCAGGAAGCTTTTGCTGTGGCCCAGCCCTGTGATAAGCAGTTTATGTGCAATGTTTAAGTTAATCTTTACAAACCCTCTGCAGTCAGACTTTATGACCCCCATATATTTTTTAAGATCTCTTTTTATTTATGTATACAAGAACTGGGGCCAGAGTAGAACTGGTGTAGGCCAGAGTTGCAGGAGGGTGAGAGGATTCACCAGAGACAGAGTGGGGAACAGAACAGGCAGATCCACTGAAATACACTGCTGAGGGGAGCAGCGGGTGAGACAGGAGGGGTCTGCTGCACCATGTGGGTCAGCTCCCCGGCCAGGGATCAAACTCATGCTGCAGTGGCTGGTGATAGCTTGATAGCACTGACTTTAAACCTGTGCCACGAGGGAGGTCCCTTTGATCCCCATTTTATGGAGGAGGAAACTGAGGCTCAGAGACATTTAACTAACTTGCTCAGTTTTGTCGCGTTAGTTAGGAGAACCGGGGTTCAAACTCCAGGCTCTCTCACTCCAGAATCTCTGTTCTCTGCTTCCATGTCAACTGCTTCACCAGATGGAAGCGTCCTTTCTTTCCTTCAAAAGGAAACAGTGAGAAATTGGTAAATGGCTGAGATTTTGGTTAGCCACTCACAAAGGCCCTATGAGCACATGTGCTTCCAAAGCTGGTGACTTGATGACCAGCGGTAGCGAACATTTTGGGGAAAGATCTTTTCTTTGTTAAATTGCCTACGTTGGCGGGCAGAGGGCCCCTAGAGGCAGAGGGGGCTTGCCAAGGGACTGGCAAATTGCTTTCAAGGCCAGAAGCACGGCCGAGTGTTCTAGCTTCACTTCTTAAAATGACAACTGCGTTTTGCCACCCACCGTCATTCGTCTCCTTTCTTCGCTCGCCATTCTTTTAGTTAAAAAGGGTTAAAAGCTGCCCTTTATGATCACAGCCAGGACTTGAGTGAAAAGGCAGAATTCCACCTCGGAGGCTCCCGGAGGGGCAGCTGGCTTTTGGGGGGGATAGAATGTGTGTGTATTTGTGGAATGAATGCCCAAGCTGGGAGCTTGCCTGACCTTGAGAGGCTGCTGTGCCTCTGACCTGCAGGAAGTCCTGACTTTCCAGCAGCCTGCCACTAGCTGGATGCCCACCCGATGGAATGCTTTGTTCCTGAAATCTGCTGGAGGAAATCAGGACTTCTGCTATCACTCAGCCCAAGGTGGGCGGAGAGGTGAAAACAAACCCTGAAGTCTCCTCTTTACCTTCAGTATGGCTTTCCACTTGCGGCGGCCCCCAACTACTGCTGTTCTTGCTCTCCCAGTCCTAGTATCAAGTCCTTGAAACCAAAAGCTTTTGGAAAAAACATATTCCCCACGTCCTTATACCACTCCCACCCCATCCTCCCATCCTGCATTTATTGGTGTGCTGAGGTACACGGGTAGCTTCTTCCACATTTATCTGCTTGTCTAGTCCTTGTGGCCTTTTTACAAAGGAGGAAACTGAGGCTTAGAGAGTTAAGTGACTCCTCATGGTGACCCAGCTGGCCAGTGGAACCCACGTCTGTTTGCTCCAGGCTCAGCGCTGCGCCCTCCTGCCCCTTCCTCCATGTTCCCCTTTTTCCTCTCTGCCCTTGTCACCCGTTTTGCTCCAAACTCCTCACAGGGAGTTCACTGCTCCTTGCAAGGTTTCTCAACTGCTATTGATATTTGGGGTTGGATAATTCTATGTGATGGGACCTGATCTGTACACTGTAGGATGTTTAGCAGCATCCCTGGCTTCTAGCCACTAGGTGCCAGCAGTACTGCCAGTCGTGAAAACCAAACTGTCTCCATGCATATCCAATTCCACCCACCACCCTCAACCCCAGGCAGCAAAATCATCTCTGGTGGAGAACCATTGTCACCATTACTCCCCATGAAGGGGATCTGCGTGTTGGGGAGCCTCATAGCTTGAGTCCTCTGAGACACTTCCTCCTAACTGTTAAATCTAGCCGGAGTTCCCGCAAGTGGTGCCCATAGCTGTGATGGGCTGATCTCACTATAAAAGTTCTTCAGGGTCTCATAAAAAAGCCCTTCCCTCACTGTGCTCTCAGCCCAAGAAGCAAGCGGATGGGGCTGGGGCTTCTGGGGGAGAGTCCGCTGCCCTGCACTTGCAGAGAGACCTGGAGAGCCAGGAACACTGGCCTTGGAATAAGACCTTCCTGTGAGGTACAGAGTCACTGCTCCTGCCCAACAGTCATTGGCTTTCCAGGAAATCCTGCATCTTTTCTAGGGCAGTGGATTTCCTCAGCATGTGGAGATGGGCAAGACCTCAACTGAGAACCTGGTGAAAGCTGGAGTCCTTCACTCCAGAAATTACATTTTGTCTATAGTTTCAGGGATTTACAGATACCAAAGACTGGCCTTCATCCAAACTACCTTCCACCCATCCATCCACCCACCGCCTACCCACCCACCCATCCATGCATCCATCTGCAGGTTAGGGACCCCTGCCAATACTCACTTATCCCATGAGTTGAAGTGGAGGGGAAGAGGGTCTGGGACTCTCCCCTTGCTTTTGGAGGGGCTAGCTGTATACCCCTGCTTTCCAGGGCCTGAGACTCAGCAGGGCCAGGTAATTGTAATGTGAGGTGAGAAGGAACATCAAGGAGAGGATCCAAGAGACAGTGACTGGGCCTGTAAATAGAAAAGGACGAGGGGTGGCAATTTGGGAGCTGACTCTTTCCTTTCTCAGCCCCGCCAAGGGCAGGGCCCAGCTGAGAGGAGGAAAGAGAGAAGAAAGCAAGGGGGAGAGATGAGCAATGAACGGTGGCCCCTTCTTTCCCAGCTGCAGCGGCCCAGCAGGCTAGATGAATGCTGGGAGGGGGGAGAGTGACCCTGGCAGAACCCTTTGTTCCAGCTGAGGCTGGAGCAGGGGCACTGAGCCATTCACACGCCATCCCAGGGCATCCTGCTGGGCATACTGGGGAGGGGGCACAGCAGCCGGTCATGGGACTTGGCCAGGCAGATAGCTTGATGCTCAATAGGGAAGCCCAGCTGTGTGCTGCTGAGGCGGGGGAAGGGCTACCCTTCCAACTTCCCTCCAGGCTGGGCTGTCCCACTGTTGGAAAGGCCCTGATGGACCCAGTCGCAGAGTGAAGCCTGCAGAGAGGACTGCGGTGTTGGGCCTGGAGTAAGGCCTCCTCCTTAGGCCCCCTGGTCACCCTTCTCAAAAGGGAGATTCAGACCAGCCAGGCTGCTTCCCGGCCCCTCTGCAGACTCCTTATTCCTGAAGAGGATCCGGCATTTTAACTCCACTGGTATTTCTTGCCCTCCCTGGTCAACATCGTTCAAGGGCCTGGTCATGGACAGAGGCAAAAACATCCACGTCTCAACCTAACTTTGGAGGAAAGGACATGGAGGCCTCTGTGCCTCACCCCATCTGCCCCGTGTGTCTCTCCCCCAAGAGCACGAACCCTCAGGTGGCGTCATTTTTCTCTGGTCTGTGGGGACACAATGCAAAAAACCCAGTCAGAGGGCAGGTACTTGGACTCTGTGAACCAAGAGGCAAAGAGTCTCCTCTTGACCATTGATGCCCAGGCCATGATTACATTGTCCACATGTCCCTGCTGTGCCACCGTGGCTCCCCGGTGACGGGGTCTCTATACTAGACCCCTCTACTCTGCCCCCTGAAACGGGCTTTGTTGGATGGGAACTGAACCCACTCTCGCTGATTCCTCTTCCCTCCCCCCCAGGCCTGGCCAGCAGCCCTGACTGTGCCTGTGGTCGGAGCCACTTCACGTGTGCGGTGAGTGCCCTCGGCGAGTGCACCTGCATCCCCGCCCAGTGGCAGTGCGACGGGGACAATGACTGCGGGGACCACAGCGACGAGGATGGATGTAGTAAGAGCCTTCCCACGGGGTGGAGTCGGGGGGCACGGAGTGGGGTAGAACAGGGACCTGGGGGGCGGGCAGCAAGGACTGTCTGACGGCGTGTCCTGTGCAACAGCTGTCAGAGTGCTGGGACTCTCGCGAGGGTGAGGGAGAGTGACAGGTAGAGGTAGGTGGCTTCTTCGTGATACAGACAACTTCAGTCCTGTGTCTGATCACGCGTCTATATCCAATAAAACAAACTTGGGCAGCACTATCAAAGATGTCCTGGAAACTACAGGTGGTCTCTTTAAATACGTCTCTTTGTATTTTGGGGAAAACATGTTTGTGTGTTTGTGTTGCTTATTTGTGCATCTCTGAATATGCATACTGCGCATGGATACAGATTTTGGGGGGCATCATTTGTTTATTCTACATGATCACATCTTTTCTAATACATAAACTTTGTAAGAAAGTTTATATTCTCTTTAAAACTCCCTCTGCCCGCCAGTGTGGTGATATATGATACACCGTGGACTGGGGTGTCTTGTCTGAGATGTATGGAGATCTCTGCTGAGCCAGTTGTCTGGGTTTAGGGGTGCAGCCTCCAACCCGCAGCACCTGTGTGTGAGGGTGGTGGCTAATTAGCCTAATAAGAATGAAGCTACAACCTGGACCTTATTAACCATAACCAGTTCAGCTAATTGTGATGATGGTGAATGTTCACTTTCATGTAGCACTTTCGTAGGCATTATCTCAGAAGACGTCTGTGCGCCCAGTATAATTATCCCCATTGTACAAAGGGCCGATAGCTCAGAGAAGGTAACTGCTGTGCTCGGTGTGATAAGTAATGAGTTCTAGAACTGGAAAAGGAGCCCGGCTTTGTCAATCATTTCACAAGAGGAAAAGAGCCCGGGGGCAGGTGGACACATTTCTTTTGCTCCTGTTTTTCTTGCTGCTTGTCAGTGGTTTTGAGTTCCTTGGCTTGTCCTGCCCTGGGACCCTCTCATTCGCCATCCCCTGAGAAGACTCACTTTCTTACTGCTCCTCTCTCCATTCGCTTAGCTTCTCCATTCACTCAGGAGTCTAACAGGCAGGACAGTGGGGCAGACGGGAGCCTCGCCACAGGGGACGTGGGGGGGTGGCTCTCTGGCCCAGCAGAGCCTGCCTCAGGGAGTAGGCCAGACTGATGCCTTCTCCCTTCTTCTCCCGGGACTCAGTGCTGCCTACCTGCTCCCCACTGGACTTTCACTGTGACAATGGCAAGTGCATCCGCCGCTCCTGGGTGTGCGACGGGGACAACGACTGTGAGGACGACTCGGATGAGCAGGACTGTCGTGAGTGCTGCGGGGCCAGGGTGGGGGAGCAAGGCCACATCAGCCATTAGGTCTCGCCTCTTGGTTTTGTCCTCTCCCCTCCTCTGTTGGAAGGATAAGGCCCTGAGAGGCAGCCACCTCCGTCGGGTCCCTCGGCTGCTGGGCTGCCAGGCACTGCCCTCCACCGCCTGCAACGGCCTGACTGCCCTATGCCCACAGCCCCCCGGGAATGTGAGGAGGACGAGTTCCCCTGCCAGAATGGCTACTGCATCCGGAGCCTGTGGCACTGTGATGGTGACAATGACTGCGGTGACAACAGCGACGAGCAGTGTGGTGAGTGGTGCAGGCAGCATGGCTGGTGACTGACCTGGCCGTGGGAGGGGAGAGTGGCAGTGGCTCCAGTGCTGCTTGATCCTTGAACTGCCCCGGGGTCTGGAGCAGCTGGAGGGCAGGTGGCAGGAACAGAGCAATTCACCTTGGCCCCACCCAGCCAAACTAGAGCCTGAGGCCCAGTGTCTCCAAGGCATAGGCTGTTCCCAGAGTCCAATATCTTGTAGGGCCTGGGACAGACCCCAGGGGCAGTGAGGGTGGGAGTCAGGGAGGATGGCAGGTAGGTTGCCTCAGGATTGCGGTCTCACTGCACCCCCAGACATGCGCAAGTGCTCGGACAAGGAATTCCGCTGCAGTGACGGGAGCTGCATTGCTGAGCACTGGTACTGCGATGGTGACACCGACTGCAAAGACGGCTCCGACGAGGAAAGCTGTCGTGAGTGGCCCCAGACGGGCTGATGGGCCAGGCTGGGTCAGCGGGTTCCCCGCCAAGGGCTAACGGCCGGGCTAAGCAGCACATGGACAGGGGCATGGACAGGGGCCACGGGCGTGGGCATGAATGGTGAGCATAGAGAGGAGGGTGGGTTCTTATGACCTGTTTACTCAGCTCTGCAGCTGAGCTAGGGGAGTAGGTGCTCAAGGGAGAAGGGAGGTCTCCCTAGCCCCACCTGAATATGAGGTCTCCACGTGTTGTCCCAAATGAAAACTGCTTATGTCTCACTCAAGGAGCGCACTCTGCCTGAGCATCTTGCCTCTTTGAGGCGCCAAGGGCCCTTTCCCCTTGCAAGGACTGACTGTATGCCCCTCCCCACCCTCACCTTCCTTCCAGCTTCAGCAGTGCCAGCGCCCCCCTGCAACCTGGAGGAGTTCCAGTGTGCCTACGGCCGCTGCATCCTCGACATCTACCACTGTGACGGAGACGATGACTGTGGAGACTGGTCGGACGAGTCTGACTGCTGTGAGTGCCTGGCCAACTGGGTGGAGGAGGAGGGCCGGGCTGGGAGGAGCTCCTGGGAGAGCAAGGCACAGGTGCCAGCTGGGGCAAGAGCTCAAAGGAGACCTTTCTGGATTCCTTGCTCCTTGGGCAGAGGAACCAGGGCGCTAGGGTCAGGGCGTTCTGTTCTGCCGCGAGACACTGCATGGGCTGGCTAGAGATGGAGTCTCTTGTGTTCCTCCAGCCTCCCACCAGCCCTGCCGCTCTGGGGAGTTCATGTGCGACAGTGGCCTGTGCATCAATGCAGGCTGGCGCTGCGATGGTGACGCAGACTGTGATGACCAATCCGATGAACGCAACTGTAGTGAGTAGGGGGGCACGTGAAAGGGCTGGGTAGTAGGGGGCACTTGAAAGGGCTGAGAATTCAGAGGGCTCCACTGATGACAAAGCTTGAAGACTGATTGGACAGGACACGTACAGCAGTGTAGGTTGTGCACTGCACAGATGCACTATGTCCAAGGGTCTGCCAGTCACACATAACAGACTTACTACACCTTCTGTTATTAGATGTAGATGTTCTTCCTGGCAGTGTTCCAGCAGATGACTGTAAAGTGCTTTGAGGAAAGGACACCTTTTTCTGGAGTCACACAAAGATGCCATATAGACTATCACACTGATATTACCAAGCATGGCTTGTGTTCTGGCAGAAAGCGAAGCTCCAGGTGGCAGGTGGAGGAGTATCAGGCTGAAATGGTCCCCCCTCCCCCCATTGTACCTTTGCTCTGCACAGCCACCTCAATGTGTACGGCGGAGCAGTTCCGCTGTCGGTCTGGCCGCTGCGTCCGCCTGTCCTGGCGCTGTGATGGGGAGGACGACTGTGCAGACAACAGCGATGAAGAGAACTGTGAGAACACAGGTGGAGTCTCTGAGGGGTACTGTGGGCCCCTTAGCCTACAGTCGGGGTGGAAGACAGGGATGGAAAGAAACTTTACTGCTGATGGTCCCTGGTGCCCAGGTGATGCTGTAGGCAGATCTCACCCAGGGCTTGGATTTTTCCTGCCATCTTGGCTGCCAATGTCAAAGCCAGGTACATCTGTTGACCTGCCGCTTTCTGGCCAGGAGCACAATATCAGGGCTGTGAGTTTTGATTGTCACTCACATTCTAACATACACAGTCAGCGCCTATTGCTCTGGCCTCGTGAGCAAGACTGGCTTTCTGTGGCTGACAGCCCCTGCCCACTCTCTGAGCCCCACCCGGGACGTGGCACATGCATGCACTCTCTCATTCTGCCCCACAGGCCTCACCGCCCCAGTGTGGTGTCCTGGGGAGAAAACACCAACAGACACTCAGCCAGCCCTGTCTGAGCTGTTTCCTGCCTAGGACCCCGACCCTCCCACCTTGAGTCTCATCTGTCTTCAGCTTGCCCTAGAAAATGACAGGCTCCCCTCCTTTGGTTGACCCAAGCCCTGCCCTGCCCTGACCTGGCTCTGGTCCCTCCACCCCCACCCACCCTCCTCTAGGAAGCCCGCAGTGTGCCTCAGACCAGTTCTTGTGTTGGAACGGGCGCTGCATAGGGCAGAGGAAGCTGTGCAACGGGGTTGATGACTGCGGGGACAACAGCGATGAGAGCCCGCAGCAGCACTGCCGTAAGTGCCCCGGCGGGCGGGCCTGGCCCATGGTTGGCGGCCGAACCCCACCCATACGGGGCAAAAAGAATCTTCCCTGGGGACTCTCGCAGCCTCGGGAGCTGTTCTTCGTGTCCAGGTAGAATGCCAAATTGGCTGTCTGGGGGAGGATTCTGGGCTCAACTCCCATCTCTGGCTTGGCTGGCACAGGGCCCCGGACGGGTGAGGAGAACTGCAATGTTAACAACGGCGGCTGTGCCCAGAAGTGCCAGATGGTGCGGGGGGCAGTGCAATGTACCTGCCACACGGGCTACCGGCTCACCGAGGACGGGCGCATGTGCCAGGGTGAGCTGGGGCCTGGTCTGGAGCAGGCCAGGATGCTGGGCAGGGGCAGCTGAGAGACCACTGTGTTTCCTTGGGTCAGGCAATTGATAGACGTGATCTCACTCATCATCAGAGTAACCCTAAGAAGTGGGGATGGTCCCTCCCATTTCACAGATGGGGAAACTGAAGCTTAGAGAGGTTAAATAACTGACCGAAGGCCACAGAGCTGGCAAGTAGCAGAACTGGTATTCTGGCCCACGTGGCCTGATCTTGGGGCCCTTGGCCACTGGTTCTAGGGCTGGGAAGAAGATGGGTAAGTGGGCTGGAAAACAGCTAGGCCTGGGAGTTGGGGAGAGAGGATAGTAGGAGGGAGGCTGCCTGACCCAGCTGGTCCTTGCAGATGTGAACGAATGTGCCGAGGAGGGGTACTGCAGCCAGGGCTGCAGCAACAGTGAAGGAGCCTTCCAGTGCTGGTGTGAAGCAGGCTACGAGCTCCGGCCTGACCGGCGCAGCTGCAAAGCTCTGGGTAAGGCATGTGGCATTCAGTGGGGCGGGCTGCAGACCAGGCATAGAGACAGCCAGGGGTCCCAGTGCTGGGGGATTTGCTGACAGGTCTAGAAGTGAGTATATTAGTAGAATGGAGTTTTGAGCTCCACATTGCTCCATTTTGAACCCTAAGAAAAGTCGTGCTGGGGTGCAGGGAGGTGGGTGGAAGAGTTTATCTCGGAGGCTCCCACTCTTCTAATGCTGATGCCACTAGCTCAGGACGGCCGAGCTGGGCAGCGAGGAGGTGGGGGTGCCTGCGATGGGTACCAGTGCAGCTCGTTTCTCTGCCAGGGCCAGAGCCTGTGCTGCTGTTCGCCAACCGCATCGACATCCGGCAGGTGCTGCCGCACCGCTCCGAGTATACGTTGCTGCTCAACAACCTGGAGAACGCCATCGCCCTCGACTTCCACCACCGGCACGAGCTCGTCTTCTGGTCCGACGTCACCCTGGACAGGATTCTCCGGGCCAACCTCAATGGCAGCAACGTGGAGGAGGTGGTGTCGACGGGGCTGGAGAGCCCAGGTAGGGGGTGGTGTGGGCCGGGCCACACTGTGTGCAGAGCCGCTGTGCAGGGAACCTGCTGGGGTCGCCCGGCCTGGGGCAGTCCATCATCCTTTTCTTCCAGTGGAATCTTGGATAGAGTTCATATTGAAAACTGGTTTGTTTATGTTAATGTTATAGGTTCAGATTTGTAACAATTCCTTTTCACTGAACTTAATCAGTGAGAATAATGAGATCATTTTTCCTGAAGGTAACAATTCAAATTCGAGATGGGTGGGCGGCTGTGACACTTCTCTATTGGCCCTTTAGTGTCCCGCTTAATCCTGAATTTGGTCTTGATTGCTTATTTGTAAAGACTATTCTGATGGACTCAGGTGATATACCTTAGTGTTTATAGACTTAACCCACAGCTCCATTTGCAACCTCAGGCTATTCAATGGGCGAGTGATGTTGGGTAGGATCAGGTATGGGCACATCTGACTTTAATGCTCATGGGGTGTCTGGGTGGCTCTGCAAATTGCTGCTGCAACCCCAAGCCAGTCCAGAGGGGAGCCGGGCTGGGGCCCAGGAGCCAGAATTCAAGCAGTGGGAGGTGATTGGCTGTGAGGACTGCCTGACCTTGACTTCTCTGTGCCTCGGTTTCTTCATCTTCATGGGGGTGATAGTACCCAGCTTCCAAGTGGTTGTGATAATGGCTTGAATTACTACATGTGAAGAGGGTAGAACAATGCCTGGCCCAGGGAACCACTTTGTGTAAGAGCTTGGCACAGAGGGACCTGGGCTGAAATGCCTCCCTCCACCAGGTGGCCTGGCTGTAGACTGGGTTCATGACAAACTCTACTGGACTGACTCGGGGACGTCAAGGATCGAGGTGGCCAACCTCGACGGGGCCCACCGGAAGGTGCTGTTGTGGCAGAACCTGGAGAAGCCCCGTGCCATTGCATTACACCCCATGGAAGGGTGAGTTGTCTCTCAAGCTTCCAAATCTCTCTTGCAGTCTGTAGGGACAATTCCCAGCCCACCCAGGCCCCCTAAATGGCGGTCATCTTCAGCGTGGTGAGGACAGCATGGACTCTGCCTGTAGGCGCTGCTGAATTCTGGTCCTGGCTCTGCAGTCACCGGCGGGTGTGGTCTTAGGATAGTTCATCTCTCTCTGCCTCTGTTTACTCATTTCTAAATGGGTGGTTAAGAAAAGAAACATACCTACCCGATAGCTGAGTGAAGATTACGTTGCGTGCAATTATTAAATTGAGGTATAATTTACACATAACATTCTATTAGTTTGAGCCACGTGGCATGATGATTTAGTACTTGCATATACAGGCACAGGCCCAGAGGTGGCGTTGCCAGTGCCATGCCAGACCCTGGGCATAAAGCCACTACTGCCATAAAGCCAGTCTCATGAAGATATTGGTTTCTTGATGCCACATTTATACTCGATGTTATATTTACACCTTACTGTAGTCTAACAGGTGTATAAGAGCGTTATGTCTAATAAAACAATGTATACACCCTAATTAAATGTGACAGACATGAGGTGAGCACAGGCTGTTGGAGAGGTGGCACCAAAAGACCTGCTTGACTCAGGGTTGCCACCAGCCCCTCCATTTGTTAAAAAAAAATGTAATATCTGCAAAGTGCAAGAAAATGAAGTTTACCTGTACTTCCATATGATCACCCCAGTAAGTTTAGTTAATGTTCTTCAGCATGCAATAGTTACAATTTTTTCTTAGAACTTTCAAAATCGGGCCTCCCCGGTGGCACAGCGCTTGAGCACTGGGTTGCAAAGCTGCCCGCAGCCTCTGCAGCGGCAGTTCGATCCCCGGCTGCTCCCAGGCCACCGGAGGAGGGTCCCACATGGCGCGCAGACCTCTCAAATAAATAAATCTTTAAAAAAAAAAAAAAAAGAACTTTCAAAATCTCTCTTAGCAACTTTCAAATTTTCAAAAAAGCAAAATTAACTATAGTTACCATGTTGTACATTTTATCCCATGATTTATTTATTTTATAACTGGGAGTTTGTACTTTTTGACCTCCTTCACTGACTTCACTCACCCTAAATGAGGTGTTTTAGTATTTAGTATTTTTATTATTAGCCCAGAATAAAATTTTTTTTTAATTTTCTTAAAGATGTATTTTATTTATCCATGCAAGAACTGGAGTGTAGGCCAGAGGTGTCGGGGGTGAGAGGATTTAGCAGACAGAGTGGGGAACAGCAGGTGAGACCGGAGAGGTGTGCTGTGCCATGTGGGTCAGCTCCCTGTCCGGGGATCAAACTCATGCCACAGTGCCTGGCAACAGCTTGATAGTGCTGATACTTAACCCCTGTGCCACCAGGGAGGCCCCAGAATAAAAATTTAATAGTAATTGTTATTATTAGAAGAAAAATCTTCTGAAGTGGAAGTCCTTAGCATGTGACTTAAAAATCAAGTGCAGTCAATTGGTGGGGGGTGTCCCCTAAGATCCTGCAGTTGTAGGTCAGTTATTTTAGAATAACTGTGAGTGTATGAGTGTGTGTGTGTGTGCATGTGTGTGTATGCATGCCCTGCCCATAGCAGATACGCCAAAATAATTTGTTTGTTAAATGAATAAATGCCCTACCTAGAGACATTTGAATTCAAATATTTAAAAAACACTCAGTGGGCCAACAGGATTTGTCTCCTACCAGCTGGAGTTCCCTGGTTTAATGAATAAAAGCCCCCTGCCTGATTACTATCCTGCCTGATTACTCTCCTGCCTGCCTCTCAGTTGCTTTTTCTCTCCCTAGTACCATATACTGGACAGACTGGGGCAACACCCCCCGCATCGAGGCTTCCAGCATGGATGGCTCTGGGCGCCGTATCATTGCTGACACCCATCTCTTCTGGCCCAATGGCCTCACCATTGACTACGCCGGACGCCGCATGTACTGGGTGGATGCTAAGCATCACGTCATCGAAAGGGCCAACCTGGACGGGAGTCACCGCAAGGCTGTCATTAGCCAGGGTGAGGCCCTTCATACACTCTCCTTCATTTCTTATCCTCCATTCCCTGTCCCGGCCCCTGGGAGTCTTGGCAAAAGATGAGGTTTGTGCAGTTGCCAGGCCTGGGCCCAGGGGCTGGGGCAGACCACATCAGGACTGAGATCCTCCTGGACTTTCACCAGGCCTCCCACATCCCTTTGCCATCACGGTGTTTGAAGACAGCCTGTACTGGACAGACTGGCACACCAAAAGCATCAACAGCGCCAACAAATTTACTGGCAAGAACCAAGAAATCATTCGCAACAAACTCCACTTCCCTATGGACATCCACACCTTGCATCCCCAGCGCCAGCCTGCAGGTAAAAAACTGCCCTCCTGGTGAGCCTCTGCTGGTGCCCCAGAGAACTTTCCCTGCACCTGTTACAATGGCCCTTGTTTCTGGTGGGGAAAGTTGAGGTCTGCTATGACATGGGCTTATCCCGCCCTCTGCTGGACATTTAGGATGGTGCAGCGTCACCACCCATGAAGGCATTGAGTTTCTCTCTAGGTCTAATTTGTATCAGCATTTATGGGGCATTGCTGGTATACCAGGTAACTCTCGTGCTTGCAGCTGGGAGCTGAAAAATAATAAGACATCGTTCCCCCATCCAGGGAGCTGACACAGTAGCTAAACCCATGCTCACTAACCTTGGGGCCTCCTTTGCCGACCTTTGCTCTTTCTTGACCCTCTTGCTCTGGGCTCTTTGAGCAGGGAAAAACCGCTGTGGGGACAACAACGGAGGCTGCACCCACCTGTGTCTTCCCAGTGGCCAGAACTACACCTGTGCCTGCCCCACTGGCTTCCGCAAGATCAGCAGCCACGCCTGTGCCCAGAGTAAGTGGGTCTAGGGCACCTGCCTCAGTGGCTGTGCCTTGTAAGGGTGGGTGGTGGAATAAGAGATAGGAGTTTGGGGAGTTGCCTATGATGGGGAAGAGTCAGGCTTCTCAGGAATCCCCAACAGGGACCACTTATGAGGTTGAAGGCCTCTATATTGAACCTAAGGGCTGAGGGCTCAGCAGTAGTTGGCTGGAGCTCAGTGAAGCACCCAGTCAAGGATGAACACCTGCAACCAGGCTTGAGCTTATTTCATCAGGTAGGATGCTTTCTCTGTAGGCAGCAAGAGATTTCCACAAAGAGGATTCCCTATTCCTAGAAAGTAGGAAAATGGTTTCCTACCTCTTTACCTTCAGTCTCACCCTGGTATAGACTTTCTTCCAGCCCCTGAGCCAGAGAGTCAAGCTTAGGACTTCAGCTGATATTCTGTAAATTCAGGCCCAACACAAATGTGTCTAAAACATAAACACAAAAAGAGTCGTTCCCCAAGCTGTTACTTTGGCTTCTTTGGCGCTCCTCTAGGGGTATCACCTCAAGAGAGTGGCCCTGTCTAGCTCAGAGTCACAGGTGACTTTTCCTAAGAGGAGTTCAGAGAATGGTCCAGACCTAGACCTCCAGGCAAGGGTCTGAGGCAACTCCTCACACATTAGCAGCTGCTCTGGTTGACCACTGTGTACCCACTGGCCCTTTTATCCCTGGTTAAAATCAAATTTCTCTTGGGACCTGGGTCCTTTCCAAAGAGTGAGGTTAGGGAAACTGTCCAGAGGAATAGGGGCAATATTCATCCCACACACACTGCTCCAGAACCTAGTTTCCTGCAGTCTCTTGTGCCTGGTGCTTCCCATATTGCCTAAGATGCATTTCCCCAGGCGCTTCCCTTCTGGCTTTCCCTGAGCTTAAAAGAAGAGCTGGACAGGTAGGCAGGAAGTACCTTTCTAGGCAGAGAAGCACACTGGGAAATATTCAGACAGACCTGGGCTGGAGAAGAGCCCGCTGGGAAGAAGCTGTGTAGGGGAGGGGCCATAGCTCCTGCTTGGTGTCAGGCCTGAGTTCAAATCCCCATTTTGGTGCTTTGTAGCCAGGGGATCCTGGGTCACTTACTGACTTCTGTTAGTCTCAGCGTTGTTCATCTAGAAAATGAAATAATAACCTGAACCCCAAAGGGTTGCTGTGAGAATCAAAGACACAAAGCAAGAAAAGCACTAAACTTGGTGCCTAGCAAGGAGTAAGTGCTCCTTAAATAGTCTGTATTGGCCAATGTTGTGAAGAAAGGTGCAAGAGGGAGGGATCTAGCAGTGGGAACGGAGCAGCAGACACAGAAGCAGACAGGAAGTCAGAGAGGTCCTGGGTGGGACTGACAGTGATGCAGCCAAGGCCCTGGAAGAGATGAGCAAGTAAGAGGAGAGGAAAGCTGAGCTGCAGCGACAGACACACAGGCTGCAGCGCCAGACCCTGGGTAGAGCCCATTTGGTCCTAAAGTCTGATTCTGCCAGCACGGGCTGCCCATTGCTCCTGGGGCCTGAGGTGATACAGGTAGAAGGTCCCAGGTCCCAGGAAGTGTGATTGAACCAGATGTCACACAGGTGAGCATCTGTGTCTGTCACTGTTCTTGGATTTAGAGCATTAAAAGAAGACCCCTTTCGGCCTTTGATCAGGTCTTGACAAGTTCCTGCTTTTTGCCCGAAGGATGGACATCCGTCGGATCAGCTTCGACACAGAGGACCTGTCCGACGATGTCATCCCACTGGCTGACGTGCGCAGTGCTGTGGCCCTTGACTGGGACTCCCGGGATGACCACGTGTACTGGACGGATGTCAGCACTGACACCATCAGTAGGGCCAAGTGGGATGGAACAGGACAGGAGGTAGGGCCCGTGTGGACCCAGCCCTTGGGGAGGGCAGAGGTGGAAGGTGGGAACCACTCTCTCCTGGGTCAGGGCTTCTCCTACCTTTGCCAGCCTGAGAATTGGTGGAGTTTGGGCCCCAAAGTTGGGGTGCAAACTCAGTTGATGATACAGCTTTGCTTCGTGCCCAGGTGGTAGTGGATACCAGTTTGGAGAGCCCAGCAGGCCTGGCCATTGATTGGGTCACCAACAAGCTGTACTGGACAGATGCGGGTATGTATAGGGCAGTTATGACCTGGCTTTCTGGGATTCCACGTTTAAAATCCTGTCCTCAGTAGAAGGGTCCCAGTGCTCCTCCTTGATCACTTTCATCTTGACCCAAAGTCCTGGGTAGGTCAGAAGTGGTGGGGCTGCTTCAGAGCTGCACATTTGAGGATTTGGTATTTGCCAATCAAATGGCAGCGACCTCTGCTGTGTAGCTAAATGCTTGAGAATTTTGTGAGGCATTTCTGATAAACAAAACTCTGGCCTGTGGTTTTCCTTCCATCACTCTCTTGGTAAAATATTTCTATTAACCAGGCGAATGTGGGAGGCTAGGGGACTGGTAAGCCAGAGCTAAGCAGAGTGTGGTCTCTGGACCAGCAGTGTCAGTGTCACCTCGGGACTTGTTAGAAATGTAAATTCTTGGGCCCTACTGCAAACCTGCCAAGGCAGAATCTTTGTGGGTTAAGTTAAGGAATCTGAATTGAACAAACTATCTGATTCTTGTGCCATACTGAAGTTTGAGAAGCATTGCCTTACATTACAGGACAGAGTGAGTTGCTTGTGTTCAAGAAGGCTTGCTCTTTGCAGAATGGGACTGATCAGAATGGGAACTTCCTTGAAGTTCACTATCCATTTGTATATCAATAACAATATTTCTTGAGCACCTACTGCATGCCATGCACCCTACTGGGCGCAGAAGGTAGAGTGAGTGACCAAGAACAAAGTTAAGATCTTTGCCTCCTATTTCTTGATAGGGACAGACCGGATTGAAGTGGCAAACACAGATGGCAGCATGAGGACAGTCCTCATTTGGGAAAACCTTGACCGTCCCCGGGACATCGTAGTGGAACCCATGGGCGGGTGAGCACCTCCCCCTCTGGGATGAACTCTATCTGTGCTCCAGACCTGAGTGCTGGAGGTTAGCGGGAGTCACATGGTCTTACAGGAAACCTTGTAAGACCTCCCTTAACTGTGCCCAGGTACATGTATTGGACTGACTGGGGTGCCAGCCCCAAGATTGAACGAGCAGGCATGGATGCCTCGGGTCGCCAGGTCATCATCTCCTCTAATCTGACCTGGCCTAATGGGTTAGCCATCGACTACGGGTCCCAGCGGCTGTACTGGGCTGATGCTGGCATGAAGACCATTGAATTTGCTGGACTGGATGGCAGCAAGAGGAAGGTAAGGGTGGTGAGTAGGTGTCCCCCCATGGCCCTGACATCGTCCAGGTAGCACTCCCTGACTGGCAATGGACAGGGTCTGGGGGCCCCACCAAGGAACCAGCATGGAGTATGTGCTATTTCTCTGAGGCTGTGACTGTCCTCCAGGGTACAGGGGCCCTACTGCTAGACAATGAAAAGAAGCTAGGGATGGAAATATTTTTTATTGAAAAAAATAAATGGCAATTATCATATAGAAAAGAATCCCCCGATGTGTCTGATGTTTCCTTGTGATGAGATGTAGGGTTTGAGGCAGCAACACCGCACAAGGGGATGCCTTGTCCTGAGCTGCTCAGGGTCTCTCACCAGCAGGCCCAGTGACAGCTGGTCTCATTTTGTCGATGACAACATTGATGGCGTTGTCAAGGTGGTGTCCACTGTAAAGTTGCTTCTTGTACCTGTTTTAACTATTAAAGTGATTTGTGCAGAGATACTTTGAGATTTTAGGGAAATAGTGCATGATCGTTTATAGTGGTCACACCGCCCTTGGAACCAGGCACTGACATGCTCACATCATGGACTGTCAGGCTCAGAGAGATTTTATAACCAGCTCTTGCTCAAGGTCACAGAGCAGATGGTAGTGGCAGAGCTGCATTGAACTCCCTGCCCAAGCTCTTGACCCCTGCTCTGTACTGTCAGACCCAGCTGGGGCTGATACAAGTGCTGGGGCCCCGGCAGGTGCTGATCGGAAGCCAGCTCCCCCACCCGTTTGGGCTGACCCTCTACGGTGAGCGCATCTATTGGACTGACTGGCAGACCAAGAGCATCCAGAGTGCCGACCGACTTACGGGGCTGGATCGAGAGACCCTGCAGGAGAACTTGGAGAACCTCATGGACATCCACGTCTTCCACCGCCGGCGGCCCCCTGGTGAGCAATCTTTGGTCTATTCTGATTTCTCCTTGGCCGTCTTCTGCCTTAGTCCTCCTTACTGATCCCCGCCTCCCTACCCAGTGTCCACGCCATGTGCTATGGGGAACGGCGGCTGCAGCCACCTGTGTCTTCGGTCCCCATCTCCAAGCAGCTTCAGCTGTACCTGTCCCACGGGCATCAACCTGATGCCTGATGGCAAGACCTGTTCACCAGGTGAGTCTAAGCATCACGGACCTGGCTGAGTCTTGCCAGGAGGGGCAGTGGCACCCTTTCCTGCAAGGGGACGCCGTGGTAGTCTGAAACACCACAAATCCTGGTGATTCTAGAGGCTTAGGGGAGACATAGGCTTTTAGAAAAGAGAGAGGAGGCCCAGGGGAGCAGGAGGACAGGATTAGAGGCAGGTCCAACTAGTTCTTATGGTGTCTTCATGCATATTAGAAAAAAGATACTTTTCTTCAGATACTTTACTTTCATCTGTTGGAAGATTATCATAATATACTGATTTGGTTAGAACAAGTCACTTTAGTTTTACATGCCCAACTCGATATAGTAATATTAAAATGTATGATAGTACAAGGTAATGGTCCCTCCCTTGGATGTGGCACTTTTGCAAAGAGCACGACCTATGTGACAATCTTAATTGGAGGGTCCCGGAAGCAGGTCCTGATGTCCAGATGTTGGAAGTCAGTGCTTCTCCCCAGGAGATGCTGCATAGGCTGTGTTCGAACCCTAACTTCCCACGGCATTTGGGTGAGAAAGGAGCTTACATTGTCCTCCCAGGTTGTGGGAAAGGTCCTCTTTAACATGAACTTCATGGTGAAGGGTCATTTGAAAAGAGTCTCCACCATAATGACAAAGGACTCCCATTTATGGCTATGCCGTCCCCAGGGCTGAGTGCTTTAGGTCCATGATCCCTTTTAATTTTACCATTTACCCTGTCATTGTCCTTATTTTACAGATGATAAAACTGAGGCGTAAATAATTTAAATAATTTGCACCGGATCATGCAACTAGAAACTCACAGGAGCAGGGCAAGAACTTGAGTCTGGCTTACTCCACCTCCTCTTAAAGGCCGGGCTAGAGTGACGTCCTCTTTCCTCCCCCTCCCCCGGGCAGGCATGAACAGTTTCCTCATCTTCGCCAGGAGGATAGACATACGCATGGTCTCCTTAGACATCCCTTACTTTGCCGATGTGGTGGTACCGGTCAACATCACCATGAAGAACACCATTGCCATCGGAGTGGACCCCCAGGAAGGTTTGTGACCCCGTCTCACCTGCCTTCTGTCCCTGCCTGCAGCAACTTTGTCCGTCCTTTCCTACCACCTTTGCCTCCCACTAAGAGCCTGGGGTGCTCTGGAAAGCCCTTGCCCCTGTCTCTGCAGCACTTCCTCTCTGGTTGTGAGGCACAGTTCAGGGCCTTCCTCCTCATCTCTGCCAAGAGCTGTCCTGTTAGGATCTTTCCACATCACTCCCAATTTCCTGAGCTAGGGTTTGCCCAAACCTGTAGGGTGTGAGTCTACTGTGTGTGTCCCTTTGCTGGAGGCGCGGGTCCAGGCTTAGCCAGCCTTCTGTTTCCAGGAAAAGTATACTGGTCGGACAGCACGCTGCACAGGATCAGCCGTGCCAATCTGGATGGCTCGCTGCACGAGGACATCATCACCACAGGTGGGCCTTCCTCCCAGCCCAGGGCCACCTGTCTGGCTCCAGAGCTGGGGAAATAACCCATCTGTTTAAAGGCAGGAGCCAGTGTGCTCTCTTGACTTCCTGCAGGGCTGCAGACCACAGATGGACTCGCAGTGGATGCCATTGGCCGCAAAGTATACTGGACAGACACAGGCACCAACCGGATTGAAGTGGGCAACCTGGACGGGTCCATGCGGAAAGTGCTGGTGTGGCAGAACCTTGACAGCCCCCGGGCCATTGTCCTGTACCACGAGATGGGGTGAGAGCCAGCTCCATGGCACAGATAGAGGATGGGCCAGGGGTGGGGCTGTGGATGGGGTAAAGGAGACAGGGAGAGCCAGCATGCTTCAAATACCTAGACTGAACTCCTGGGATAGTCCACTCCCAGTGACAGCATAGTTCAGAGGCTGAAAGCATGAGCCTGAGGTTCGGGAATCCAGGATTCCAGTTCTCTCACCACTAATTAGGTGCATCTAACACTTTGGGTCTAGGGTTCAACCTCCCTCTGATCCTCAGCTCTCTTAACCTGTAAAATATGAGTGACAGTGAAAATGCAAGCCTTGTGGCCCTTGTGAGGATTAAGAAAGAGAATGCACACAAGGAACTTTTGCTTTTTTCTCATTATGAAGAGCACAAAATAGGGCCTCCCTGGTGGCACCAGGGGTTAGGTCTCAGCACTATGAAGCTCTCAGGCAGCCACGGCAGCATAAGTTCGATCCCTAGGCTGGGAGCTGACCCACATGGCGCAGCAGACCTTTCCTGTTGCACCCACTGCTCCCCTCAGCAGTGTATTTCAGTCAGTATGCCTATTCTGCTCCCCACTCTGTGTCTGGTGAATCCTCTCACCCCCCACACATCTGGCCTGTACCCCAGTTCTTGTATGCATAAATAAATAAAAATAAATCTTTTTTAAAAAAGCACAAAACTTAAAATTTACCACCTTAATCACTTTTAAGTGTACTATTTAATGATATTAAATATATTCACGTTGTCGGGCCTCCCTGGTGGCGCAGCGGTTGAGCGCTGGGTTGCGAAGCTGCCCGCGGCCTCTGCGGCGCCGGTTCAATCCCCGGCTGCTCCCCGGCCACCAGAGGAGGGTCCCACATGGCGCGCAGACCTCTCCTGCTGCCCGCTGCTCCCCTCAGCAGTGTACTTCGGTCCTTCTGCCTGCTCTGTTCCCCACTCTGGCTCTGGTGAATTCTCTCACCCTCCCGCGCTTCTGACTGTACCCAGTGCTTGTATAAACAAAACAAACAAACAAAACCAGCAAACAAATAAATAAAGCATGCCTCTATAAAAAAATAAATAAATAAATAAATAAATAAATAAATATATTCACGTTGTTGAGAAATGGATCTCTAGAACTTTTCATCTCATAGATCTGGAACTCTTGCACGCTTATACAACAACTCCCCTTTTGCATGTAAAATACTTTGCACAGTGTTTTGCAGATTGCAAATATCCACAAGATACAGTAGCTGTGGGAGTAGCCAGCGAGTCCTCTTTCTTGCCCAGGTTCATGTACTGGACAGACTGGGGGGAGAACGCCAAGTTGGAACGGTCGGGAATGGATGGCTCGGACCGGACCGTGCTCATCAACAACAACCTTGGGTGGCCCAATGGACTGACTGTAGACAAGGCCAGCGCCCAGCTGCTCTGGGCTGATGCCCACACAGAGGTGAGAGTCCCACTCCTGCTGCCTCCCGGAATCCTGGGAAGATCAGAGAGGCTGTTTGGAATCTCTACTGAGGCTGCCAGTCTGCTGACAGCCATCCTTTCCCTCCCCTTCCTCTGCAGCGCATCGAGGCTGCAGACCTGAATGGTGCCCATCGGCACACGCTGGTGTCACCCGTGCAACACCCTTACGGCCTCACCCTGCTCGACTCCTATATCTACTGGACTGACTGGCAGACACGCAGCATCCATCGCGCTGACAAGGGTACTGGCAGCAATGTCATCCTGGTGAGGTCCAACCTACCAGGCCTCATGGACATCCAGGCTGTGGACCGGACACAGCCACTGGGTGAGCAGAAGCCCTCAGGCAGTGAACCAGAGCCTCTGGCTTTCTGAGAGCATCTCAGCATCAGGGGTATATCCAGGGCCCAGAGCTCCCTTTACAGTCAGAGCACCCGGGACTTTCCTCAATCCCGTTCCAGGATCGGGTGTACCCTCTGGGTCGGCGGGTACTATAACTGCATGATGCTGTCACTGTCCAAGCACTCATCCATCTGCTTCTTCCCTGCCAGCCACTGAATCCTGCCATTTACAATAGCAGATAAGCAGGCACCAGAAACTAGAGCCCTTGTAAGACTCAGACAGCTTTCCTGTCTGGGTGTCAAACTCCTGCTTCTCTCTCTCCCATTGCCAGGTTTTAACAAATGCGGCCTGAGGAACGGCGGCTGCTCCCACCTCTGCTTGCCTCGGCCCTCTGGCTTCTCCTGTGCCTGCCCTACTGGCATCCAGCTGAAGGGCGATGGGAAGACCTGCGATCCCTCTCCTGAGATCTACCTGCTCTTCTCCAGCCGTGGCTCTATCCGGAGGATCTCTCTGGACACCAGCGACCACACGGACGTGCACATCCCTGTCCCCGAGCTCAACAACGTCATCTCCCTGGACTACGACAGTGTGGAAGGGAAGGTTTATTACACAGATGTGTTCCTGGATGTTATCAGGTATGAGTCTCCCTGAACCCCCAGAGGGCACCGACCTGCCTCTGATCCTGATGGGTGAGGTTATGGTCTGTGTGGCCCTCTAATGGGATGGAGCCATTTGGCAACTTAACTAGTGAGTTCTGACTCATTTGCTGTGTAGTGTTATCACACAGAGAGCAGATTCCAGCCTTTTTTGTGTATTTATTTATTTAAAGATGCATAGAAGCCCAGCATGCAAAACAAACAAACCATAGCAGATAAAGCCTATCCCTACCGCTGGGTTCTGTGGGAGCGCTCAGGCACCCCCAGGACTCACCGATGCAAGGTCGTGTCGCTAGCCCTAGTACCTGTCATATAATCTGGGAGCCCTGGCCAAATGCCAAGGCTTGTGATTGTTCACAAGATTGGTTTTTTGCTTTGTTTTATTTTTTATATAGTTTTATTTTATTTTTATTATTCTTAAAGTGTTTTATCCTGACTCAATGGAAATCTATGATGCCTTGCTAAGAGGAGTTTGCCATGGCAGATATTCTCACCCAGAAGGACAGGGCATTCCCCTTTGCTCTCCCTGAGGCATGTGTTAGACTCTTGTGCTGGGGGCAGGTGAGCAGAGCTAGCTCATAAAAACCCAGTAGTTGTGACCAACCCCCAATCCTGAGATTGAATTCCCTGGTGTAGGACTTCAATAAATAAATGCAGGTAAATTTGGACTAATTTACCTTTCTTATAATCACCTCCCAGCAAGCCCTGTCTCTTCTTTAAGGGGCCCTTTTGGCAAGACAAGGGTCTAAACTATTTGCAGCAGGAAACATTCTGTCCTCCCAAGAGAATTATTCATTAATTCTACAAATGTTTTGAGTACCTACTATGCTAGATACCGAGGAATGTACTGACAGATACTCGTTCTCCGCCACATGAAGTTCAGTTTTGGTATTATGGCTCAAAGGGGTTTCTGACTATTGCTTAATCATCTGGTCACTTGTCCAATCCATGGCTGTTTTTGAAGGCGAGCAGATCTGAATGGGAGCAACATGGAGACAGTGATCGGCCGTGGGCTAAAGACCACCGATGGGCTGGCAGTGGACTGGGTGGCCAGGAATCTCTATTGGACAGACACGGGCCGAAATACCATTGAAGCATCGAGGCTAGATGGTTCTTGTCGCAAAGTGCTGATCAACAACAGCCTGGATGAGCCTCGGGCCATTGCTGTCTTCCCCAGGAAGGGGTATGTTAAGGCCAGCAAGAAAGAGGCCCAGGGACGATGGGCCTGGGGAAGAGAAACCCTAAAAGAATGCCCTTCTGTTTGTGGGGTCCTCTGTGTTCTCTCAACCTCTGCTTGCCATCTTCCTATGCCTTGGTGATGACGGTCCTGTTGTGTCTTAGATACCTCTTCTGGACAGACTGGGGCCACATCGCCAAGATTGAGCGGGCGAATTTGGATGGCTCAGAGCGGAAGGTCCTCATTAACACAGACCTGGGCTGGCCCAATGGCCTTACCCTGGACTACGACACCCGCAGGTGGGAATCCTGTCCCCAGCGACTTCCTGGCAATCGGGTGGGCAGAAGATGATGGAGAGGGTTGGACTGGGGGTGGGGGTAGGGTGGGGAATGTTTGAGATTGAGGTTGTGAAAACAAAGAGAGAAAGCTCCTTGATAGGTGGAGAAGAAAAAGCAGTGAGGAGGATGAAGGAACATAGTCTTAGAGCAGGAGTTGCTGAGTCCAGCCCTCAGCCCTCAGGTGGGTTTTGTTTGTCTGAATCACCGGTCCCACTGCTCCCATCCATTTAAGGGCTGACTTTTTGCCTTTGTTACTCTCCTGATCCCTTCAGACTGGAATTTCCGACTCCTGATCTAAATAAAAGTGTTCATGGGCAGAGAAGAGGGTGAGGGGAAGTTGAAGCAGCTAGTGCCCTCATTGCCCTCAAAGAAAAGGGAATCAAGGTCAAGTACAGAGTTGGAATGGGCAAGAGGAACAATTTCCTTTCACCTCTGTGAGATCCTTGTAGACTGATGTGCTGTTTGTAATATTCATAAGAAGTTGGGCTTAGATACTGGGTAAGAGTCAAAGGATCATCGAGTTGTTAAAGATGAGTTTGGGTGGTGGCTCCTCCGAGATCACTGGACTGTCCACCCCTCCCCAGAGCACCTCCAGACTCCCCATGTGAGCCCCAAACTCTCTCTCTTCAGCTGTGGGACTCAATGACTTCCCAAGGGTACTCCTTGACTGCTCACAGATCTGCCAGTTCAGCTGAGGAGGGAACAGATAGCTCTTCGGGGAGAAGGGTTGGGCTCCCCAGCAAGGGTTTTGAGCAGCCACCCTTCTCTCCTTCATAGGATCTACTGGGTCGATGCTCATCTAGACCGGATAGAGAGTGCTGATCTCAACGGGAAGCTCCGGCAGATCTTGGTCAGCCATGTATCCCACCCCTTTGCGCTCACTCAGGTACTGGCTCAGGAGAGAGGTAACTAAGCCTCCTTGACGGGGTTGTTTCCTCAGGGTTCCAAGTTAGCCTAGTTGCTACTCAGTAAGCATGCTATGGAAGCTCATTTTTGGGGTGTTTCCTGTATAGTGTAGCCTTGTTACCATGTACCCAACTACTCCTGCCCCATCACTCCCACGTTCCAACATTTGAGGGAGTATCTCTCAAACAGGAGTATACAGAATCAGCTGTGGAACTTGTTAAAATGCAGCTTCCTTAGTCCTGGATTTTGAGAATCTGCTTCTTGAGGGTTGGACACAGGGTTGTGCATTTTAGCAAGTTCTGCCATTGGTCCGGAACCTTGGTCCCAGCAGCTGAGCCCAGGCACCTCGTTGGTGGCAGTGGCTGGGAGCCATTGTTTTGAGCCAACCAGCCAGTCTGTGAGTGTTTATTGATTACCTCCAGCGTGCCAACTTAGGCTTCACATTTGTCTGTGACATTAAGTAATGGCAACTTCAGACAAGATACTGAACTTGTCTAAGCTGTTCTTCCTTATACAATAAGTGAGCTTGAAAAGCATTCCTCCTGAACTATACACACTGCATTAGCACAGTGTGTGGCACTCAGTGCACGCTATTTCTCACTTTTCATTTGTACTAGCTTTCATTTTGGAACGTTCTGACCCTGTATTATTAGGGAAAGGGAAAAAAAGGAGATCTACCAAATCTAGAGCCAAAACAGGGATCCTCATTCAATCATTTAAAAATCTTTTTCACTTTCTTAAAAACATCCACTCTCTTTTCTGCATTATATCCTACCCATCCATAAGGTTTGGTCTGGCTTAATAATAGGCATTTTTTTTCATATTCCAACTCTAAAACTACAGGATAATACTGAGTATCGTTTTTCAATCTACAAGTTTCCCCTGGGATGTCTGATGGGTACTTTGCAACCGCCTTCATGGCCCCTTCCCAGACCTTGGCATCCCTTTATTAGAAGGCAACTTCCCACAGAGATAAGCAGGAGTTCTGATGTAAGACACTGAGTGAAAGATCCAGAAGAGGAGGGACCTTAGAAGGACCTCCTCCCCTAACTTATTCCTGATTTGCTATGTACAGGAACTCATTTATTCACTGAGCCACTCAATCAGCCAACAGAGGACTAAGTGTTAGGTGCTAGAAATTGAGAGGTGAATGAAATACAGTCTTGTCCATAAAGAACTTAATCTGGCAGGGTAGACAGACATATACACAGATGGCCATAGAGTGTCACTAGCAGAAGTGAGGACATGACACAGAACAACATGGAGGAGAGAATGGTGACATCTGCATAGATCAAGAGAGACTTCCTGGGCAACAGCAATGCTGTATCTGGGGATGCTCAGAAGTCAACCCAGTGGATAAGAGATGAAGAGGGCATTACTGTAGGTGGAACGTCCATGCTGAGGCATGCACATTGGGCCTGAGTCTGACTGTTGAGTAATATTTTCTCTTTTCGGGGTTACTCTGTTGAGTAGCAAGACCGGTGGATCTACTGGACAGACTGGCAGACCAAGTCAATCCAGCGTGTTGACAAGTACTCAGGCCGGAACAAAGAGACAGTGTTGGCAAATGTGGAAGGCCTCATGGATATCATTGTCGTCTCCCCTCAACGGCAGACAGGTGGGCTGCTGGGCCCCAAGCCTGCTGAACCCCCATGAGCAGTGGGTTTGGCTGGTCACCCCAAGGACTAGCAGGGACCAAGACAATTAGAGCCACAGGAAGAGTCTTTTGGTTCACATTGTAAGAACTTAGATCTTTGCAGCCCCCTTGGGGTTATACCTCTCCTGCCCTTTCACCTGGGAGTAAGGGAGCTCTGCATCTCCTTCTTTTTGAGAAGTACCAAATTGTAAGACTTCTGTCCCAGACCAGATAATCTGTCCCAGACCAGATACTCATTTGCTTTGCCTCCAGGGACCAATGCCTGTGGTGTGAACAATGGTGGCTGCACCCACCTCTGCTTTGCCAGAGCCTCAGACTTTGTGTGTGCCTGTCCTGACGAGCCCGATGACCAGCCCTGCTCCCTTGGTGAGTTGTTCTGGATGCCCCTTGGATCAGCAGAGCAGAGGATCAGCAGCCTCAGCTTCATCTTTCTGGTGGGGCTCTCCCTCAGCAGAGTGGCTGGGAATAATGAGTTTTGACTTTGGAATAGCACAGATCTGGGTTTGTCTGTCCTCTGGAATTTACTAGAATGAAGTTTCAGGTCTTCTGATTCCATGCTCCCTTTAATAGCCTCAACATTTTTCTCTCTTCTTGACCATGTGGACATCTAGCAAATCCAAAGCTAATAATATTGGAAACCAAATCATTAATTATAGTGTTAAGAAGGGTTTCTAATGAGGGTGACCAGGATTAGGGCAGCTAAAAGAGTGCTTTGTCAAGCTCTCCAGTGCTCCTCTTGGACCATCGCCCACTCCAGTCCTTTTTTTTTTCTCCCCAGTACCTGGCATGGTGCCTCCAGCTCCCAGGGCTACAAGCCAGAGTGAAAGGATCCCCGTGCTACCCAACACACTGCCTACCACCCTGCGTTCTTCTACCACAAGGACCCACACATCTCTGGAGGATGTAGAAGGAAGGTAAATGGCTTCAGTGTGGGATTGAGGGTCCTTTGATCTGAACACCACCCCCTGCTGGCAGAGAACCCTGGTCCTAGCTGGGACTGGCAGATGGGAGACAGATCACATCATGAGCCAGCAGCAATGGTTCATTAGGCCTGGAGAAGATATTTAGACTTGTAGATGTTTGCAGGTGATTGTCTTTTCAATTCTAAGGGCAGAAAGCTTTAAGAGCAGCTTTAGAAGGGCCTCCCTGGTGGCGCAGGCAGTTGAGCGCAGTGCTGTGAAGCTGTCCGCAGCCTCTGCAGCGTGGGTTCGATCCTGGCCAGCAGAGGAGATACCCACATGGCGCAGCAGACCTCTCCTGTCTCGCCCACTGCTCCCTTCAGCAGTGTATTTCGTCGTCTGGCTGTTCTGTTCCCCGCTCTGTCTCAGGTGAATCCTCTCACCCTCCCACACATCTGGCCTGTACCCCAGTTCTTGTATGCATGAATAAATAAATCTTAAAAAAAAAAAAAAAAAAAAAAAACAGCTTTAGATACCCCAGAGGTTATCTCCCCTGCTGCCTTTCCCTCTATGACATTTGCTCACATAACAGATTTAGTATGTGATCATATCCTACAGTTTACTTCTGAGCCACCAACTCATTGTGGTCTCTGTGAGACCACTTGGAGCTTCCTCAAGAATGTGATGACCTAAGCTATACGGGCCCTAAACACTCAAGTACATGCATGTAGGAGAGCATTGTGTCTGCAAGCACACACATGCCTCATTGTTAGATAAGCAAGAATAACCATGAAGTCAGGGATAAAATACTCTTGTATTAAATTGGAGGTGCTGTCAATTTAAGAAGCCTCCTGACTTAAGAGGTTAATCTAAAAAAACAACCAACAGCAATTGTGAGATGCTATGGATTATAAAACACATTTCCTATTTCAGAGATACTAGAGTATTTAAAAAAAGCCACATCTTCCAACTGACAAAATATGATGTTACATTCAATTCAGAGAAATTCTTATGACATTATATTTTATGTGTACTACACATTAAATATCTGGAAATACAGATAGCAATAAAGAAGAACTAAGTACCCATAACCCCATGTAATTACTCTTACTACTTTTTATTTGATATATGTACATATACTGTAAAATGATTACACAATAAGTTTAGTTAACATCTATCACCACACATAATTACAAGTTTTTTCTTATATTGAGAACTTGTAAGATCTATCCCCTTAGCAACTTTCAAATGTACAATATATTATTGTTGACCATCATCACTGTGCTACCCTGTAACATCCCCAAGACATATTTACATATTTACCTTATAAGTATCTATCTATCTGTCTGTCTGTCTGCCTGTCTTGATAGATAGAGAGATAACACCCAAATTTCCACCATAATTTTCCACCAATCTGTTCTCTGTATTTGAGTTGTTTTTTTTAAACAGATCCCACACATCAGTGAGATCATACAATATTTATCTTTCTATCTTTATTTCACTTAACATAAAGCCATTAAAGTCCATGCATGTTGTTTCAAATGGCAGAATTTCCTTATTAATTCTTTTTCATGACTAAATAATATTCCTTTCTCTTTCTCTCTCTCTCTCTCTCTCTCTCTGTGTGTGTGTGTGTGTGTGTGTGTGTGTGTGTGTGCGTGTGCATGCGTGCACATTTTCTTTATCCATTCATCCATGGATGGGCTCTTTCATTGTTTCTATGTCTTGGCTGTTGTGAATAATGCTGCATGGGAGTGCACACAGTGATTTCATTTCCTGCTCTTAGTACTTTGATGTGTATCTTTGCAGACACTTTTCTAATAGAAGAGTTTCTTTCATCATAATATACTGGTCTCTTTATTTTTAATATCAATAGTAACATAAAAGATAAATTAATACTTGATTTCAATTCTGAAAGCAGAAATTTAGTAATAATCTCAAATAAGAACTCTAGACTCATGTCCCTAAAATTGTAAGTTCTGCATGTGACCAAATTCAATCTATATGTCCCATTTTCTTTTTTTAGAGTAGTTTAGATAGAAAAGCACCAAGATATAAATATGCTTTCTCAGTAACTTTTAAATACTATCAATCATTATTAATCTCTGATTTCTTTCAGGTTTATTTAGAAAACTTTGAGCCCTGTTCAGATTATTTTCTTACTGTCAGAGTTCTATTTGAAGATTCAATGCTTCTTTGTTTCAAAGGCTCTAAGACCATTGGAGCTTTGCTCTAGCCTTTTAGGAGATGTCTTTAATGGCCTAATTGTAACATGCCATAAAGAAGTTATCTTCTTTGCCTTTTAAGTTCATTTTCTGAATACTCCCTCTGAGTGGTTTGCATATTGTATAACAATAAAGGGAAGGAAAACAATTTTTTGAGGTCTGTCTCATGACAATCCTTATCCAATCAGAATTTTGCTTGGCTGGTAGCTTAGCTTCTTCCAACTCACCCTGGTAGCTTAATAAAGCGTACCATTGGTGTCTTGCTGTTCTTTCAGCAGACTTCCAGTACATTCCTTTTCAAAGAATACCTATGTGAAAACACATTTCAACATGAGGTATCGTCTTGAACACAGTGACTCACATTGATGTCTCTGTATTTCCTAGTCCTGCCCTTTCCATGCTCTGACTTCATTGCCTTTTGCCCTGCCCTTCACAGGACTTGCCCCCTTCCGTGGAGGGAAGCAAGATCTTGACTAAATACAAGCAGCCTTCATATTCAGTTTTCTATGCCCACAGATGCTCTGAAAAGGATGCCCAGCTGGGCCTCTGTGCACATTCCAATGAGGCCGTCCCTGCTGCTCCAGGTAAGCCCTGGGTGCCCAACTGTTTGGGGAAGGAAGATATAAGGGATCTTAAGTCTACACTGATATCTTCTAGAACCTTCACGGGGAGTTCAGGGTTCAGGGGTTGGTGAACCCTTCTTTTAGATTAAATCATTAGAAAGAATAATCATTATAGCTACCACTTATGGAGTGCTTTCCCCGGGTCAGGCATTTATTAAGCCCTATATTTGTGTGTGTGTGTGTGCATGTTTGTGTGTGCATGAGTGTGTGTATTTAACCCTATGAGCAATTTATTCTTCATACTTAAATGATGAGAAAACACACGCTCAGAAGTTAAGCATCTTGCTCAGGTTACATGGCTACTAAATGGTGGAACTGTGATCAGAGAGGCTCGCAGAGTGAGCGGTTTCCTCTCTGCCCCTTACCCCATCCTCTGTGGTCCCTCCTCTGAGACGAGGCCTGCAGTCATCCTCAGATGGTGTGGGATCCGACACCCACAAAAGGAGCCCCCATCTTCGCACCCCTTGCAGCGGCTGGAGGGTTGTTGGTCCCTGCCTAACATCTCTCTCTCTCACTAGGGGAAGGACTTCATGTCAGCTATGTCATCGGTGGACTCCTCAGTGTTCTGCTGATTTTGGTGGTGATCACAGCTTTGATGCTGTACAGGTAACCTTAGCCTCCCAGCTCAAGGCCTTGTGTTCCTTGGTCATCACAAACATGTCTGGGATCTCCTGAAGCTCAACCACTTGTGATTCAGCCTCTGTCCAACCTTATTTGAAGGTTGGGTCTGTGCTCTGAGTAGCTGAAGGGAAGTTTCCTAAATACTCCTTGTTCCCCAATCACATCCTAAGAAGTTCCCTCTTTACATGTCCAGGGGGACCCTGGGGACTTGGATGTGGGGGACACAGCAGGTATTTGCCCAAGGTCACACAGTAAGAGGGAAAACTTGGATGGACTCCAGCACCTTGCTTTTTCCACTTCCCACACTACCTTAAACCACTGAACTTGGAAATAATTTTCGTTTCACATAAATACAACCATTTTTGCCATATTGGTTCATGTCATTGCTAGGTAGGGATCATCCTTGGAAAGTGAATGTGTAGTTTTCAATTTATGACCCATAATCCCTACATATACATACACACAAACATATACATGCATATGTATTTCCCCCACCAAATGCTTTAAATACAGCTTGCAGCAAAAAGGTTAGGATTTTCTGCTGCTGCTGTGGCTCCCACTAATGATAACAATAGCCACTGTTTAATGACAAGGCCACAATGACCTTTCACTACAGATATTATTCTTCCTCACTTTACAGGTGAGGCTCTGAGGCTTAGAAGGTTTAGATTATACCCACTACGTTCCCAGCTCATAAGTAGCAGAGGTGGGGCTGAAGCTAAAACTTGGTGTATCAGTTACCTATTGCTGTCCAGCAAATCACCCCCAAATTTAGCAACTTAGAATGACAACCATTTATTATCTTGCAGTCTCTGTGGGACAGAAACCTGGAGGTAGCTCAGCTGGGTGTCTCACCACAAGGTCTCTCAAAGTGCTGAGTCCAGGGATCTGTTGGGCCTGCGGTCTCTTCTCCAGGCTTGACAGGGGAAGGATTGCTTCTCAGGCACATTCATGTAGCTTGCAGCTCAGAGGTGCACTTGCCAATCAAATGGCAGGTATCTTTGCTGTGTACCTAGGGCCTTGGGGTTTCTGCAAGTGACACTCTTGGTTCCTTGCTGGCTGTTTACTGTATACCTCCATCATTGGTTTCTTGCCTTGTGGACTTTTCCATAAGACAACTTAAAACATGGTGACTTGCTTTCCCCAGACCAAGAGTAAGAGAGATTGAGGAAGGGAAGGCAACCTTAGAGATGGAAGCCAGAGTTTCTTGGTAACTTAATCTGCTGTCATCACTTTTGAGTATTTTAGTCAGTAGAAGTGACTCACCTGGTCAACCCTCACTCCTGGGGCGGGGCTTCAGAAGGCCTAAGTACCAGGAGGCGGGGATCACTAGGGCCACATGAGAGGTTGCCTACCACACGCAGGTTATAACTTCCCCAGGATTTATCCCCTAAAGATCTGAACTCATTTCTCATCACCTTTCTTCCTAAAGACACAAAAAATCCAAGTTAACTGATCCTGGCATGGGGAACCTGACCTACAGTAACCCCTCCTACCGAACTTCCACTCAGGAAGTGAAAATTGAAGCCATCCCGAAACCAGCCATGTACAATCAACTATGCTACAAGAAAGAGGTAAAAATTAAAAAAAAATTTTTTTTTTTTTTGGAATGGGGAGGATTATGCTCTAGTTGCCTGAATAGATCAGAAAGGGATTTTGGAAGTTACAGTGAGCAGAACTGAATGTGATTTGGGCTTCTGGAGAGATCTAGAATCTCTCAACGACTAGCTTGAGGGACCCTAGTAAGAGCAAGGTCAGAAAGCAGATTCCAGAAAGTTTAGATCTGAAAGCATGTGGATGGGTGTGCCCCTTTCCACCAGGAGGTATTTTCCCAGCTTCACTGGGAAGCTTCAACTTCTCTCCCGAAGTTGACATTCCCCTGCACTGGGGCTGTGCCTCTCTGAAACAACCCCACATTTCCTACACAACACCCTCTAAACCCAAAGTCCCTGGACTCTCCGGATTCTAACCTCTGATCCAAGCTGTTGACACCTCTGGCTGGGAATGGCTGACTTCTTGGTGTCTCCTCTTATCAGATTCTTTTTTAAAAAAAGATTTATTTACTTATGCATACAAGAACTGGGGTGTGGCCAGAGATGTTGGGGGAGACCTCTGAGACAGAGTGGGGAGCAGAACAGGCACACTGAAGAAATACATTGCTGAGGGGAGCAGTGGGCGAGACAGGAGAGGTCTGCTGCGCCATGTGGGTAGCTCCCTGGTCGGGGATCGAACTCCTGCTGCAGTGGCTGCGGACAGCTTCATAGGTTGCGTCTTAACCCCTTGCGCCACCAGGGAGGCCCTCCTCTTATCAGATTCTTAAGGGATGTCTCTAGAACTCTGAAGGTTTATGTGCTTTTGTTCTTTCAACTTTTTTATCTTAGAAAAAAATTATTTGCTGAATATTTAGGTCTAAAGATAGTCCTGTTTCCACAAGGAATCTATTGCTTGGGATTTCATATTTTCCTAATCTAATGGGACCCAGGTTTTTTCAAAAATCCTGTAATCCTTCTTCAGAAGTTATCCCTTCTGAAACCTTAATTGTCTACTCTCTTGGCCTGTCTAGCACAGTCAAAACCTGTCCTCACACCTACAGGCTCTGTGCATAATGAATATACTTTACATAATGATCATGTGCTTTCTGGATCCTTGAGTTCCCACATTACAAAAGTTTCCACTGCAAGTCATAATAGAACCTGCAGGGGCAGCTTGCCTTTTAAGCATGGTAGACCCCTTCTCAATGAATATCTTTGAGAGAAAGACTCTGGAAGATTCTTGGGTTCTGAAGTGTCTGATGCCCCAGAGAAGAACCACAATTAGGTCCTCATGCTAGAACCTAAAATTCTGTGACCTCTTTCTTCTCTTGTATGCTTTTTCCTCAGCAGCTCTTTCACCCCTCAGATAGTCTTTCACCCTTTCTCTTCTGATTTCTTCTTGATTTCAGGTACCTGTTGCTGTGTGTTTGTAGAGGGAGTGGTGTCCCCCTAAATTGCTACTACCATGTCCTCCACCTCTCCTTAACTTACCTGGCTTGTCTCTGTGATGAAGACGCTGCATCTGATCTCACCCCACTGTAGCTTGAAGGGTGTGCTGGACACACGGGCATGTGCGTGCCTGCATGTGTGCTGTGTGTGCTGTGTCTTTCTCTGCTTGATCAAGGGAGTTGCCAATCCAGAGAGCAGGGTCTGTGTTTTTTATATTGTGTGATCATCAAAGTGTCCTGCTCGTGGTGGAGCCTTAATAATTATCTGTGCAATTGAATTCTTATGAAAATAGCAGTTGCAGGGTCTTGGCAGAAACACTATCCCAGGGACAGAACCCAAGCCAAGCTATGGCCCATTTTCTTCTGGCAATGGTGGCCTGTTGCTTGGTATCCCCCAGAAACCAGAAGTAAGGCTACCCTTTGAGGAATCCATAAAGAGAGAAGCCAGAGTAGAATTTAAGGCTGTCCCTGGAACGACCCCAGATTGCTTGGCAGTAGCCCCAAGGGTTGTGGGAGCTGAGCTAGAGTAGCCTTCCCCAAAAGGTTATGTTATAGGACCCCAGTGGCTTGACATTTAGAAACCAAATAGAGAATTTTCTAGGTCCCTCCAGTCTTACCTCCCAAATACTTTCTCCTTAAATTAGAAGTGAATTATAAATAAAGTAGCAACAACAGTTGTTTAAAATCCTGAATACATGCATATTTACTTGCTTTCATCCCTTGCTTTTGATTATGTAGTCAGCATGGCTGTCCCATTAATAAACCACGTAGCAATGTAATAGCAGTAACCCCGTTTTAGTGTGTCTTCTGTGTCAAGCACGCTGCAGGTTGCATTCCATGTCATGCTTCATTTAATCCTTACCACCACTGGCTTTGAGGTATGGATACCATTGTTCTCCCCACACTGCATCTGGGGGCTGAGCTCTAGAAATAAGAAGTAATTTGCCCAAAGTGACATAGCCAGTGAGTGGCTAATGCCACTTTCAACTATGGACACCATCATTTCTCCTCCCTGTGTGGTAACACCTGCCAGGCAGCACCTTTCAGGCAAAGCCTCACATTTGCTCTGTCGAGTTTCCCCCTGTGTTTGTGGGGTCTTTGAGCTCCTCAGCGTTTTTCTCCCACCCACTTCCTTCTTCAGTTCACCTTGAGACCCTTTATAGCAAGTCCAAGTGACCATGTCTCCCCACTGTCCACCGTAGGCTGGACCCGACCACAACTACACCAAGGAGAAGATGAAGGTCGTAGAGGGAATCTGCCTCCTGTCTGGGGATGACGCTGAGTGGGATGACCTCAAGCAACTGCGCAGCTCCCGGGGGGGCCTGCTTCGGGATCACGTGTGCATGAAGACAGACACAGTGTCCATCCAGGCCAGCTCTGGCTCCCTAGATGACACGGAGACGGAGCAGCTCCTTCAGGAGGAGCAGTCTGAGTGCAGCAGCGTCCACACCGCCGCCACTCCTGAAAGACGGGGCTCTCTGCCAGACACAGGCTGGAAACACGAACGCAAGCTCTCCTCGGAGAGCCAGGTCTAAAAGCCTCTGTTCCCTTCCCTCCCTGCCTGTTCCTTCTCCTGTATGGACTTCCGGTCCTTGTGCTCGCTTATACGACAGGCCCCTTCCTGTGTGCTCGTCCCGTACCTCTTCCCACCCCATCAGTGCTCCCGAGCCTTCCACGGGAGCTGTTTCCACTTGAGTCCATAACTACCTGTGCACAAGAAATGATGGCGCATCTGAGAAGGCAGACCTGGATTTTACCACGAACCTTGCCTCTTGACTCCATTTTGAGCCCCCCTGAAATCAGGCTTGGTAACGAGCCGGCTTCAGTACAGGGCTCTATCTCCCTGCTCTGGGGCCCTTAGCGCCTGCCCCGTAAGACCTGGTGACCCAAGACTGCACTCTTCCCCATCAGAGCTGGCCTCTCATGTCTCTGCGAGAACTTGCCCACCGGTGGCTGGGGCAGGGGGTCATGGATAAAGAGATGAAGGATAGAGGTGAGAGGAGGGGGGTGAGTCAGCCCAGCTGGCATGGGCATCGGGGAGACCTCCAGCCTCAAGTGTGTTGGTAATATGACAAAGCTTTTAGGGACAGCTGGGCCTGGGCAGTCCTGTCCGTTGCTGGCAGTGGACATTGTTCTGGCCCTGAGTCACTGTTTTCTCAGGGGCAGATACTGGTGAGAGCTGGATGTGCCTCACACTGGTCTTCCTCCCGTGGGGATGTCTGAAGGTGGTCTACCTTCAGATGACTGGGGACCCCTCTCACATGGCAGCTGGCTAATGTGAACCCCTCCTGGTGTCACTGGTGGCCAGTATCTTTTCTAAGTCTTAGACTCTATGCAGCCAGCTTGTGAGCCAGTAGCTTGAGTTAATATGGGGGTCCCCAGGCTGAGTCTTTGCAATGTCTAGGAAGCACTGCTCAGGCCAAATCACCTGAACGTTAATGTCCTGTCAGTCTCTTCCTCCTTGTTCTCCGGGATTCTGAGTGCAGAGATCCTGAAACAGCCTTTCAAAGAAGGGCCAGACTTGGAAGAAGAGCAATAAAGACTTGAGGCTCCCAGGGCCTGAAGGAAGTATCATGAGGTTGAACCTGTGTTCTCTCTCAGGTGCTCAGGGATCTGATGGACAGAGAGTGGCTCTGGGGGTGAAGAGCCCATTCCCATGCTCTTCCCAGCCAAGTGACTTCCTTTCTACCTGGAGATGCTTCACTTGGCTCATGCTCAGTCATACAAAGGGCACGTGTCTCTTGCTAGGATCAGGGCGTCGGGACTGTGTTCTGTCCTAAAACTTCTACTTAGCTCTTCACCTTTTTTTGGCTCCTAATTTGCTTTTTCTGACCTAACCTGGTGGCACCTGTAGTAGACCAGGAGCATGGGAGAGTGCAGCACTGATGACACCCTTCCAGCACAGGGAGGTCTAGACATGGTCTGTCAGGAATTAGAAACTGCTGAGAATGGAGGGGAGGCTTCTAGGGGGGAGTTTTCTAGTTTGAAACACCTTCTGTATTATTTGTATGGTCAGTTGCCAACATATGAGTGAAAAAAGGAGGAAAAGAACCCCCTTTTCTGGTCTCTTCTGAGAAGGCTGGAGACAGGTGCCAAGCCCTCAGCCCTGTTCTCAGCAGCCAGCCCAGGTCTGCACCTCACAGTACAGCCGGGCCAAGATGGCTCTTCCAGACACTGGGTGGGAAAGGGGAGGTGCCACTTCCAGGCAGAAAGGGAGACCTTTCAGATTTGAGGGGGAAGTAGACCAAGGAGCACTTTGGGTACTGAGACTCATGCTTGGAGAAGGGAGAACGTAACAAAGTGGCATATTCTTATTGGGAAGGGGGAAGGAGCTTATTGCACTTGGGCTATTCAGAATGTAGAAAGGACATATTTGAAGAAATATCTATTTGAGCACTGATTTACTATGTAAAAAGCAAAACCTGTCTGTCCCAAACTAATGGAAGTGATTCTCCCGCGCTCATGTGTAATGGTTTTAACGTTACTCACTGGAGAGATTGGACTTTCTGGAGTTATTTAACCACTATGTTCAGTATTTTAGGACTTTATGATAATTTAATATAAATTTAGCTTTTCTTAATGCCTGGCTTGGAGTCATGACTGATAACTGCACCTGCTCTGTCTGGCAGACCCATGCTATGGAAAACCTGCTTGCAGGTGTTTAGGGAATGTGGGGATGGTAAAGAGCAATAAAAGGTGTAAGGCTGGAGATTCAGCTCATCTTGAGAAGATAGGTCAAGCCCAGAGTTCACTGGCTTGTGATATCCTCTTTCCCTAGAAGCAGGCTGGCAGGCAAGCTTCATCTTGTGTGCCGGCTCTGATTGGCTGGTCATGGCTGCCTGAGGCCCTGTCCAGACTCAATGGGAAAAGTGTCCTGATCATTAGTGACATCTTTGAGCTCCCAAAGGAAGTGCCGTGGCGTGCATACCAGGTATCTTCTATTTCTGTTCTAGGTCTAAGAGGACTTCAGTGCCCTGAAGTCCTTTGCCTTGCAGTGAGGTCATTGGCAAGCCAGTCTGATGTATTAAGAAAAGTACCGGAAGGGACAAGAAGGGCTAATACCAGGCTCAGATTTGCTGCTACCTCTGTTTCATCTTAGTCGAGTCTGAGAATGAGTCAAGACTTTGAGACAGCAAGCTGTCTCACTGTAGCTCATTTGCTGCATTTCAAGGCTAGAACAAGAAGTTGGAGATCCCTTCTCAGGTTCTCTGGACATGATACATCTGTGAAATTTGGTAACCATGTATGTCTTGATGCCAGATAGATACAGAATTTTTATGTCAAGGCTCAATAGTTGGTTTTCTAAACCACAACCAATTAATAGAATAATGCTGCCATTTGTCCATTCATCTCTTATTACAGGCCAGGCACTACCAAGCCTAACCAAGAAAGACAGAGTCTCACAGAGTTTAAAGTCTAGCAACAACCCCCCATCAAAAGAGGAAAAAGAAAACAGACTGGCACCTCATATTTAAATGACAAGAAATCTGAGTATAAATGTAAACTACAGTTGTATGATTCCTCTATCTTTGGTAAGGGAATAGATATGCTAGAACAAAAACAAGTAAACCATCTTGCCCTCATTCCACCATTCTCATTTAAAAATTCACAACAGAGAGTAAAGGACATTTTAAGCAGTGACATTCAGCCTATAAAGCACATGTCTCTATACTACTCTCCCCTCCAACTTCCCCCCCTCCCACCCCTACCCGGGCCCTGCAAAGCCTCAGGGTTACAGGTCAGGCCTTGAAGTGCAACCACTAGAACTGGGATCTCAGGAAGAACTTCCCAAGTGGGAAGAGAAACTGAATGCATGGACATGTTTTCTTAGAAATCTGGAGATGTTTCTGGGAAAACAAAGATTGGTGAATGCATTTTGCCACCTTGTGACCAAGTCAGCCAGTTTGATCAGGCATTCAACACTGCTGGAGCCTTTGGAAGTTCCATTAACCTGTGGCTGTCCTGTCACTTTCACAGGAGAGAGAAGAGAATGGGGCTGGCCCATTCTTGACAAGAATTTGACCAGTAGCAAGTGAGAATTTATACAGCGTCAAAGATAGCACCCCCATTTTCCAGTTATAAAAATGCAGACTTTTAGTTTCCTGGTCAGTTAAATGAAAAATTTGAACCAGGTGATTGCTAAGGTAATTTCTAGCCTGAAACATATTTACGTTTCTTCCAGGGAAGTCTTGGGAATGAAACAACTTGAGAATGCCTCATCTGGTTCTCTAAATATAAAACCTGAAACTGTTTAAGTGGGGAGATGTGGGTCAAATTCTAACAAGCTGGACATATTTCTTCAAACTACTAATTATGTTCAAAATGGTAGTCCCCGCCCTTCTGCCCTTCTGTGTTGTATGCACAAACTGAAGCCTAAAATGAGATCTCAGGGCCCATAGAGAGATCTCCCTGGCCTGAGTTGAAGCTCTCACCAAACGTAGGCTAGGAGAAAACAAAGTCAGTGCCATCTAGGAAATTAGGAAAAGCACCCACAAGCGCTGAGGGTGCACAAGGTTCTAATGTCAAGAATGCTCTGACTTTCAAGGACATCCTGTCAGCCTTTGTTATTTCCACTTATGGACATAATGATAAAAGAAGTGTGGCTGAGCCCTCTCTGTGGCTAAGAAACCATCTATGTCTTTTCTTCGCATGAAGATGACTCAACTGATTCACATAATAGGATGTATGTTTGGGGATGTTTCAGGCAACCTTTGTTTTGAAACATTCCCACACTCATTTATTTTCTCTCCAGAATCATCTCCCATTAAGCAGCTGGCAGAGGCTAAGCCAAGCTCAGCATAGGGAACAGAGTATTATTTCCAGTCAAGGCTCCAACTTACAACTTTGAATTCCTTAACATGATGTTAAAACAGATCCAGACAGCCTAATTAAGGGTCTGAGTTTAAACCCAAGACTGAATGAAGTTAGCCCCAAGCTACACAATCTGCTTATTTAATTTTATAAGACACATAGAGCCAAGAACTCTCATCCTACCCTTGTCAGCTGGTTTCCCTCCAGCCCCCAAAAGCCTGCTTACGAGGTCCCTGTATCTCCCTTATACATCCTTCCTCGTTGTTGGGGCTGATATTTCTGTGGTGAAAGTTCTCGGACCGCCTACATTGGGATGGTGGTGGGGGGAAGGCTAGGGAAACAGGCTATGAAAAAAGGCTATTCATTCCTTCATTCAACCAGTAAATGCAACCAAGTGCAAGCTTTGTAGTTTTGAAGGCCAGTCGAAGCACTAACCCCTACAGCCATTTGAGATCTGTAGTAATGTCACCCCAGCTACCTCCTGGGAATAGTACAGAGGGCCCCTGGAATGAAAGTTGAAAGAAAGTTCATCATCGAAGCTGCTCCCCTTAGGTTGAAAATATGGATCCAAGTTTCCTGGTAGGGGTATTTCAACCAGAATGCAGCTTGTGATTATGATGGAATAAATTCTGTCCCAACCCTAGGCGGCTTTTCAGAAACACCCAACAGTTATTCAGCAGCCACAATGTTTGGCATTTGTGCCCGGCTTCCAGCTGCAATAATACAGTATTCACTTTGATTTCCAATGCCCACAAGGGTTTCACTGCGCTCTTAACACCCTCCTTACATAAAACTATCAAGAGGCCCCTGGTATAAAGCAAGCACACATACCTGAAAAATGCATAGATAAATGCTATTTGATGATAATCCTGGACTCCAAAAGATGGAGTCAATAAATAAACATTTATCGAACACCTACTATGGGCAAGGTACTGCATGAGGTTTCTACAAGGCCCTATAGGATCTGCCACTCCCCACCTCCATTATCTATCAGACATTCATCCACTGCTTCTCTCCTACTGCTAAGTACTCTGCCAGCTCTTCTAAGTACTCTGCCAGTTGTGTTCCTAACTTAGGGTCTCTGAAGAGCTCTTCCCTCTGCTTAGTACTTTCTCTAGATGTACTCATGGCTAACTCCTTTGCCTTTTGCAAGTTTTTGCTCCAGTGTAATCTCAATAAAACCTACTCTGACCACCCTTTATAAAATTACAATCTTTCTAACCCCATCTTGCTAATCCCTTTCACCCTGTTTTATTTTTTTCTGTCCATAGCAGATATTGTCTAATAACATACTATATAATTTATTTATATATTGATTGTCTATGTTTCCTCACTATATTGTGAGCTGCATGAGAGGAAGAACTTTTTTGTTGTTGTCTATTTTGTTCACTGTCATCTCAAGTGCCTAGATCAGTCCCTACACATACTAGGTGCTCAATAAATATTTGCTGATTGAATGAGTGAACAAATGAATGGAACCAGACACCTAAGGCCCACATTCTGCTACAACTGCACCTAAACCATCTAAGACAAAAAGGGATTTTGCCATTTTGTTTTAAAACTCTCTAGGACTCAGACTCCACACGTCCTTTACTGAACAAATTTCAGGTTACCATTACCCTCTCCTTAAATGTAATCTACAGTTTATTTCTGGTAATATTTAAATAAAGTAAATATGTCAATGACCAATGACTGACGACTCTTTCTATATATTCCTGGCCCATTTCTCAAAGGTTATTGTGATCTTTTTTGCTCTGATAGGCTCCTCTCTCCTCTAGGGATGGATTTGTTCTCATGCCTCACTTTTTCACTCTCTCCACTGTCAGTGGTCTCATCCACTACCACAATTTCATCTTTGCACTTTATAGAGGTGATTCCCAATCTATATCACTTGAATCCTAATCACCCCCCTCAACTCTCAGTATGCATTTCCTAGATCTACTCATCAATAAATGATTCCATTTGAATGTGTCATTGGTATCCAAAAGTAATCAGGTTTAAAACTCCTTGAGAGTGGGTTCTCCTGACTTTCTGTTTACCTTTGGGCAATCACCACCTTCCAGGTCCCTGGACTCAAATCCTGACATTTTTTCACTCATCTCCCTGAATGAGTCCCACCCTTACATTTTCCCCTACCAAGTCACCAGGTCCTTCACTCTATTCCTTGAATCTTTTCTCATTATTTCCACTGCTGCTACCTCATTATCAGATTCCTTAGCTCTGGACTTCTAGCTCTAACCTATTTTACATAATCAAGCTAATTTGTTTTCCTAAAGGGCAATTCTGATTTTGTCCCTCCCCTACTCAGAAACCTTCTATAGTTCCCCACTGCCTACTTAATTAAATACAAATTCCTTACCTTATTATTCAAGATTCTGTTAAGAATTGTTCCTGATCTTCTCTACCAATCTGGTGTCCCATTATTTCCCAATATCAACCTTGTTCTAAGATCAAATGCAACATTCAATTCACTACATACAAGGTACTTTCTTGTTTTTGTGCCACTGTTCCTACTTTTTCAGATATTAGACATACTCCCTAAATTAACATGTCAATAGAAAAAAATTCATTTCTCTCCCTACCAAGTTTCCCCACTAAATAGTTTCTTGAATTTTCAGGATGTTCTAACCATTCTCAGTCACATGAACACAAATACACACACATTTATAATCATGTGTAATAAAGAACATTGCATATATGCTTTTTTGCAATTTGCTTGCCTTGTTTCAATTAAATAACATTCACGCATTTTTCTGCACCAGCACATATAATTTAGCCACATTCTTTTTAACATTTGCATAATGTTCTATCAGATGGATATACTATAATTTATGTAACAAGATCCTTATTTTGGACATGTAATTTCAAGGTTTTCTTCCCCCCTATCTTATGCAGTATTGCAGCAAATAACTTTGACATTTTTCTTTGTATGTATGTATAATCTATAGGACAAATTCCTAACAGGGGCCTCCCTGGTGGCACAAGGGGTTAAGATGCAACCTTTGAGGCCTCCCCGGTGACACAGCGGTTGAGCGCTGGGTTGCAAAGCTGCCCACAGCCTCTGCAGCGCCAGTTCAATCCCCGGCTGCACCCCGGCCACCAGAGGAGGGTCCCGCATAGTGTGCAGACCTCTCCTGCAGCCCGCTGCTCCCCTCAGCAGTGTACTTCGGTCCTTCTGCCTGCTCTGCTCCCTGCTCTGGCGAATTCTCTCACCCTCCTGAGCTTCTGACTGTACCCAGTGCTTGTATAAATAAATACATTAATTAATTAATTTTTTAAAATGCAACCTATGAGGCTATCTGCAGCCACTGCAGCACGAGTTCGATCCCCGGCTAGGGAGCTACCCATATGGCGCAGCAGACCTCTCCTGGCTCACCCACTGTTTCCCTCAGCAGTGCATTTCAGTCGATCTGCCTGTTCTGTTCCCCACTTTGTCTCTGGTGAAGTCTCTCACGCCCCACACCTTGGGCCTGTACCCCAGTTCTTGTGTGCATAAATCTTTTTTAAAAAAATTCCTAACAGTTGGCAACACTGGACCAGAGATTATTATTTTAGTAACACTAAATTACCCTCCTTAAAGTTTGCAACAGTTATTCTCTTACCAACAGTGAATTTCATTGTCTCTTTCTCAAAGTCTTGGCCAGTGAAAGGTTGTTCAACTTTTTCTTTTTTTCTTGCTTTTACTTTTACTTCTATTTATTGATCTATTTTTTATTTCTATTAAATTTATTTATTTTCTGACATCATTATTCATTTTTGAACAGGATATGATTTCTCCCCTCAGGGATAGTCCCCATAGCTCTCCCATCACCAAAGCACCCAAGATCCATCACCATAGTCCCTTGTGCTCTTCCCTGCCCTGTTTGGACTCCCTTCTCTCCTTCTCCCCTCCATTTATTTTTATGTTGAATTTATTCCTGGGCCATAAGTTTGTTTTTTCAGTTTCTTCTTCTGTGCAGCCTCCTCTTCTGGTTTAGGAACAATCTCTTCTTAGTAAGCATCATCTCAATGTGTCAGGGAGAGTTCATCTATGAGTTAATCTGACTATCCTCTCTTTAAGTTCTTTGATACATCTTGGAGACCTTACTCACCTGGATGTGCTCGATGCCCAGAGAATCTAAATCCTTAAATTCAGTATTACTTCCTGAATTTTTAAGCATGTCCAATAAAAACTCAGCACTCTTTTTTTTTCAGGCCACCAACCCTATGTCCAGCCCCCGTTTGGCCTGGTCACACCTACCAACACTACCATTGTAATGAAGGAATGGCACACATTGCTTCTGCAGAGTGACAGCCTTCAGATAGTTGGTGGCTTTTGGATATGCTAGGCAATTTCTTGATGGCCTAGGCAATTTCACATATGTTCTTAAAATGAACACAATGATTTGAATCTCTTGATTTGCATGCTTTACTGGGTTTGTTTGGATTGATTGTGTAGCAAACCATTTTAGAGATCACCTAAGGCCACTTACAGAAAGAGTCAGCTTTCATCTTTGCCAATTTGATTTAAAAAAAAATCATCTGATTACTTTTACCCAACCCCTCTCTATTTTTCAGTCTGTTGCTGATTGTATTACCTTTAAATCCCGGATTGAAAGTCCAGTCCCTTCACAGAAGCTCTCCATCAAATTTCTTCCTTTTCTAAGCACCCACAACGTTTCTATAGTTCTCATACTACTTTGAATTTTGATTAGTCTGTATTTTATTCCTCTGACCGTTGCAGTTTGCAAATCCCTTGAAAGTAAGGCCGCAATCTTATTCATAGAAATACTGCATGTACAGAGCTCAACAAGAATTTAGAGATCGCATTAGCCAACTCTCCCATTTCAATAAATAACAGGACTATTAAGCATTTGCAGAATGCGTGATTGTTCAAAGCCCTTTCCCTGACAATTATGTATGTTAAATCCTCACATCAAGCTTGTAAGGCAAACACTGTTATCTCATTTTGCAGATGAGAAAATTAAGCTCCAGATGACTGCCTGAGAAAAGCGATTTACTCAGAGCAAGTTCAAGATCAGAGCCCGGCATCCAGGTTCCAATTCACTGTTCCTTCCACTACCTCCCAGCTGCCTCTCTGCTGCACCTCCCTGCGACCAACCTTCGCGGAATGAAATGACTGAAAAACAAACAGAAAAAACCTGTCAGATGTTGACAGCTTAAATATCTGCTGCTAGATAAAGGAAACACGCTGATGGCTGGGGATGCACCGGTCTCCGCGCATCCTTTTTCCTTTCCGGCCCTCGGTACCTTGGGTTCCCAATACGCTCTCCCACCGCAGCGAGCACCGCGAGGTCCAGAGAGCACCACGGCTGCGCGCGGCCCCTTTAAGGCGGCGGACGGCGCGTGCCCGTACGCCTTTCAAACGGACCAATGAATGGGCGAGGGGCGGTCCACCGCGGACCAATAAACAACGAGGACACTGCGGGGTGTGCGGCGGCTCAAGCGGTTTCAAACGGCTTGGAGCAGGCCCCTCGGTTCGGCCCCGGCGGAGGTGAGTGGGTGGTGGTCCCGACCCACCTGCCTGGGCCCTCGGCCCCCGCGGCCGCGCGCGCGCGGAGGGTCCCTGAACCCCGGGCGGGGGGTGCCTCCGCGGGCGCGCGCCTCCCTCGCCCCTGGAACCCGGCGAGCCCGGAGCGGCGAGGCGGGGCGGAGGCCGGGGACCCGCGGCGGGGAGGGCGAGGGGCGTGGGCGCGCGTGAGCGGCGAGGCCGGGCTGGGATCCGGGGGCCCGGAGCGCGCCGCGGCGGGGTGCGGGCGGCAGCGTCCGGGGGACGCGGGCGGCGCCGGGCCGCGCCTGGCGGCTGAGGGTGTTCCCGGGCTGGGGCTGGGGCGGGGGCCCAGCGGGCGACCCGGCTGCCGGGCCCCTGGCGTGATTGTCAAATGAATGAATGGGGGCGCGGGAGCCGGGGCCGCCGTGTGGGTGGGGAGCGCCCGATCGCCCCAGGGCGTGACAGGGACGGTGGTCCCCGGGCCTTCCCGTGCACCTGTGCCCCTCCCGGCTCGCTGCGATTTTAACGATTCCGATCACACCGCTCCGCCCTTATGCCTGGCTTTCTCTCTCTAAAGGTGCCAGTAGAGTTCGTGTGTCTTTCCAGCTCTGAAGGTTTGGGGGACCAATACAATAGCCAGCAGTGCAGGCGAGGCAGGCCTTGGTACTTTCTAGGAGGGACTCGGTAAACTAGATCCTTACTTTTTAGTTCTTTTTGCATTCTTTGGCTGTTGAACTCTTCACCCTGCAATGGTGATCATTGTCAGGCAGGGTTAAATGTATGCCTTTTTGTTTCTGGGATGGAAAAATGATGAAAGTTGATGTTGCCAGAGTGACTGCTGTGTGTTAAGGAAATAGATTCGTGCCGACGAAGCCTAACAATGAGTTGTTCATTCAGCACCAATAGAGGGTGAAGTGGTTTTTGCAGAACTTGCCCCAAATTTATGCATGACTCCAATTTAATTCTCCTGGGAACCAAGGCATCGAATCTTGGCCCAGAAATCCTGCCTGTCTTATTTTATGCATAATTATAGTAGTCGAAAACTCATTTTTAAAGAGGTGAACTCCTCCTTTCTCCATTTTCATCACCCTGAAAAGTCCTTCTTTGACCTAAAGAGCCCATAAATTAAGCTAACAATCTTCTGAAACTGGTAAGGAGTCTTAACAGATTTGGACTTTTCATAAGTGACTGAACAAACAGTAATGCTGCTTTTGTAAAATTTGATGCTATAGGGAAAAGTGAAATCAATTTATTTTGCCAACATAAAA